CTTTAGCTTTAATTTAAATATCCTAGTAATTAGATTAAGTTAATTAATAGTCTATTCGTCGAGCAGAAGGTTTTTAATAATCTTAATCTATTTTAAATTATAGATAAAAGTTATAAAGAGATCTAGTCGATTAAACTTAATAGATAGAATAATAATATTCTAATAGAGTTATTTTATAAATTATAAATCTTCTTAATAGAAGAAAGAAAGAATAATATATTATTTGCTAGTCTAATTATCTATAATAGCTCTATTAATATAAATATTAATAACTACTTAATAGATATTAGCTTAAATAATCTTTTAATTTATCTTTAATTAATAGAGTTTATTACTTTTAATAGCTATATAGATATCGTAGATGAAATACTATAGTAGTCTATTATAGTTACGCTGCGCAACGGGGCGGGGTAAGGCGGGGTTTTGGGTACCCAACACCACCCCGCTCCGGGTCGGAGTTTCAACGGGGTGGGGTCGGGTCGGGGTAATGTTTTTCCACCGAGGTAACGGGGGTACCTCGCTACCCCGGCCAAGCATTCAATTAGGTTAGCTCGGAGCTATTGCCTCGATAACGCCCCCCGTAACATCCCCCGTAATATATATCTCATTATCTTTCTAAGCACCTATATCTTATACTCTTATTTAGACTACGATATCGTATTCTATATATTAATAATTAACTTTCTCTTCTTCGCTATTAAAGTTATAATTTTAAAAAGAATATTCTTAAAATAACTTTTTAACGCTCTTCGAAGATTTATAATAATTATATAAATTATAAATAATATAAAAGTAGACTTATTATAGTAGAATATCTTTTTAAAATATTAAAATAATATTATCTTAATATATTATATTAATAATCGAGTTATATAATATATATAATTAATATATCTAAAAAATTCGATATAGAAAATTATATTCTAGACTATCTCGATTATATTTAATTAATTTAATTTAAAAATATTTTTAATATTAAAATAACTATATATTATTATTTTAAAGATATATAATTTAAAGAAATAAAGATTATTTATTATACGATAAAGCTATAATTATCTTAATTATAAGAATCTTACTTAATTCTCTATTACGATAATAATATATAAGTAAAGATCTATAAATTAAATTTATAAAGTTAAATTTTTCTAAGTTAAATCGAATTTTAGTTCTAGCTCTAAGTTAAATCGAACTCTAATCGCTTACTATACGTTTTTAATCTACTTTTATTATTATTTTAATTTAATTTATATAATATATAGATATATATATATAAAGATAGATGTATTAAGACTTAATTAGAAAGATATATTAAGTATAGAGAATTAATTTATAATAATTATCTATAAAAAATAGAGAAAGATTATATTTTTATAATAAGAAGTATCGAAATATTAAAAAGAAATAGAGATAATATATTAATTAATAGTATAAATTTTATAATATCTTCTATTATAGTAAAATCTTTCGAATAATAAAATAGCTATAGATATCGAATAATTTTAATTCGTTTAAATATATATCGTTCGATATTTCTTCTATAGAGACTTAATTAATTATAATAGTAGATTCTTCTCTTATAATGTTATTATAGTAATATATTATATTAATATAATAGAAATAATAGATTAAGTTATAATAGTATTCTTCGCTTATTAAGTAATAATTTAATATAAAATCGTAAAGAGTATATAACGTGAAATCTTAAAGAGCTAAGCCGTATTTTTAATGCTAAGAACTTTATTATCGCTTAATTTCTTTATAATATTCTCTATAGTATTCTTCGTAATATTTTTCGTATTTATCTATTATAATTTCTTCTCTTATTTCTTAATATAGTAGAAATAATAGACTAAATTATAGTAGTATTCTTCGCTTACTAAGTAATAATTTAATATAAAATCGTAGAGAGTATATAACGTAGAATCTTAAAGAGCTAAGTCGTATTCTTAATACTAAGAGTCTTATTATCGCTTAATTTCTTTATAGTATTCTTCGTATTTATCTATTATAGTTTCTTTTTTACTTCTTCTTTTATAAAGTATTAGATTAAATAGCTAGCTAAATAATTAACTAAGTAAATAACTAATATAATATAAGATCTTAGAAAGCTAAGTCGTATTCTTAATATTAGAAATCTTATTATCGCTTAGTTTCTTCATAGTATTCTTCGCATTTATCTACTATATTAACTTCTCTTATCTTAACTAAATAAATTAATATAAGATTATAGAGAGTAGGTTTATTATATTACTACTATTAATAATTATCTCCGTAATATTCTTCGTAGTATTCTTTATATTCGTTTATTATAGATTCTCCTCTTATTTAACTAAGAGCCTCTTCGATAATTATATATTTTTAAAATATACTAATATATTTTTAACTTAGCGTATTATATATATACGATTATATTTAATAATTATATTTTTACTTATTAGATTATATTATATATTAAAAATATATAAATTATAAGTTAACTTATAATTTAAGACTTAATATACGCTAAGTATATAGAAATAATAAATATTTATAACTATAATAGCGATATTTTTTATTTTTATAACTAGTAGTTACATTTTATAACTATAATAACTATATTTTAGTTATAAATAACTCTCTATTTAAAGAGATAGCTATAAGTATCGTTCTTACTACTATTTAATATTATTCTTCTTATTATAATAAGTAAATATAGAGAATATCTATTCTATCTAACTATATCTATTAAAGAAATTCTTAATAGCTATTCTATAGTATAGTAGTAGTAGATATATTAGCTATAAGACTATTAAATAATAGATAGAAAGTGCCTAGAAAGAATTTTTCGACTATTCTATATTCGATTCTTACTTAGCGAGATTATAGAATTATCGAACGAAATCGTATCTATATTTTATATATTTTCAAGTATCTACTAGTATTATTTTAAGCTTACATTTATTTATTAAGAGATAAGATAATATATATTAATATATTTTAAAAATATATAATTATCGAAGAGGCTCTAAGTACGAGGGTATCGAGAGTAAATATATTAGTATATTAGTATATATAATAGAATAAGATAGAGCTAAGCTTAAAAATCTTGAATTTATATATATAGCTAATTATAAATTCGAATTCGTTACGCTCTTTAATTAAATCGGCTAAGTTATTACGAATAAATAAATTAGCGTTCGTAACCATCAAAATCTCGCCCTCTCGCGCCTCCTTATTAAAAAAATAGGTGTACATTATTAATATATAGAATAACTTTTTTATTTTCTATTAAAATTTTGAGATTTTTTTTTTAAATTATAGAACGAAATATGGGCTTTCAGATAAAAAAAGAATTTCTAAATTTAGTCTTATAATTATTAAAGCGCAAGGAATTTAAATATCGCCCACCAAAGTTCGCTCACCAAAGTTCGCTCGACAGCCGGACAGCCCTAATCAAAAAACAGATACACATTATTTAATTTTAGAATAACTTTTTAATTTTCTATTAAAATTTTGAGATTTTTTTTTAAAATTATAGAACGAAATATGTGCTTTCAGAACTTTTTTCTTTCTTAAATTTAGTCTTATATTATTCAAGCGTAAGGAATTCAAATATCGCTTATCAAAGTTCGCTTATCAAAGATCGCTCACCTATTTACTCGATAGCCCTAATTAAAAAAAAAAGATTATGAATTTAATTCATAGGCCTTTACTCGTTTATATTAATAAAATTAATAGAATTAATAGAATAATAAAAGAAGAATAGTTATATAAATAGATGAAAGGATTATTATTCGATCTCGAACGCGTTTAATATAACTATAATATTTAAATATTAGTTTAACTTATCTATCGCTAACTTAAAAGAAGTATATAGAAAAGAATATATTCATTTAAGCTCTTTTTAAGGGTCTTTTAATGCGTTTATAAGTAATAGTAGATAACTATTAAGCTCGCTTACGGCCTCGATTATTAATAATAGCGAATTCGTTAAAAGATAGTTTAAAGGTATTAATAGAGACTCTAAGAGGCGAGTAAAAGAGATATATATATCTAAATCGAACGCGTTTAATATAATTATAATATTTAAATATTAGTTTAATCTATCTATCGCTAACTTAAAAGAAGTATATAGAGAAAAACGTATTCGTTTAAGCTCTTTTTAAGGGTTTTTTAATGCGTTTATAAGTAGTAGTAGATAGCTATTAGACTACGGCCTCGATTACTAGCAATAGCGAATTCGCCGAGAGATAGCCTAAGAGCGTTAATAAGAGGTTTAAAAGATAGACGAAAGAAATACGTATCTTAGATACTTAGTAATATTTAGATAAGAAATATTAAGAGTGAATATATTTATAATTAATAGATTGATAGAATTATAGAAGAAATATAATTATATAAATAATAGAAGGATTATTATTCGATCTCGGACGCGTTTAATATAACTACTATAACTATTATATTTAAATATTTATTTAATCTACTAATAGTAGATTAAACTTTATAATTTTTATAGCGTTAGAAAGCGTAAAGCGAGCTTTATAATTTAAGAAATTATAAAGTAACTATATATATCGTAAGCTAAGTACTTTAAAGTATAAAACTTTTATATATAAATTTTTAATAAGAGAGACGCGAAAGAGCTATTAAGCTAATTTAGTCGATCTAATTAAAAAGCGTATAGAACTCGAATTAATAATTAGCTATATATATAAATTCAAGATTTTCTAACTTAGTTCTATCTTATTCTTTTATATATATTAATATATTAATAAATTATATAAATTCTTTATATATAAATTAATTATAATTTTATTACGTAATATAATTATATTAATAATTACTTATAATATTATAATAATATTTATTTAAATATCTATAAAGACTAATTAGCTAGTCGATAATTTATTATATTTTTAATATTAAAAAATCGCTAATATATATTTATAGCTAAGAGATCTTATATCTCTATTAAAATAGAGCGAGATCTACTAGAATATTAATATAATCAAACCATATTACTTCGAGAGACTATACGACTTCTCTAATAGAAACTTATTATTAAAATTAGAAATATATAAACAGCTCATCGTCGGACCTCTCATCCTCACTGTTTGTGAACACTACCAGCTCATCGTAGAGCCTCTCATGCTCATAGCTTGGACTGCCAACGCCGCTGATACTATTCGCAGCGAACATGGGAAACCTTCTTTCGAGCTCGTAGAAAACGTCTGTCGCTAGGTCCTGATATCTTGGTGGAGGCAAAGTAGCAAGTCTTCGACGGGCCTGATTTCGTCCTGGATGGAAGTTGTCCTTCGGCAGCAAGTGAGGGGGTATGTGGTCTGATCCACTGGTTTGCCATTCTGCAGAGCTTTGCCTTCGTAGTAGCTCGTCGTAAACGTCCGTGCTTAGCTCTTGAAATACGATTAGTGGTAATCGTGACAGCTTTTCCCTCACTGTAGGTGGTCTTGGGTGGCCCTTCTCATCTCGCAGAGACTGAGCGAGGAACATCTTAAGGCTCGCGTAGTTTTGCAATAATCTTTTCTCCATGACTAATGTCCTGCTCTGACCCTCGGAGGTGGGCATTGTAGTCTCATAGTTGGAGCGTGCTATTGGATATGGTGGATATCTTGGTTCTCTCCCTGGGTGATTCCGTCTGTCGTTGTCTCTACTTGTAGTTGCGGTTTTAGGTTCATTCTCAGTTTTGGACGCTGTGGTCTCTTCAGCAGGGGGTTGTTCGCTTTTTTCGTTGCTCTCATTACTCAACCAAATCCAGCGCAACTCTACGTTGGGCTCTGGTTGGGAATCGACTCTCGAAGCAAGGTCACCAGATGGTCCTTCTCTGTCTCCTAACTCGGTGTGCAGGTGCAATGCTGCGTTGGGCTTGGTATCAAATTCCTGGGGCGGCTTTGACGCCACCGGCAACTCGACCTCTGCCTTTGGTCTCAGTGAAGCTCCGGAACTACTCTTTGTCTCCGTCTCGTGGGTTACAGCTCCTTCGACGGCGGAGCCAACACCACAGTATTGCCCTTCTGCGTCATCGTCTGGATCCTCCTCGTCGAGCAAACCTCTGCTGCCAAGCTCCTCGATATAAGCCTTTATGAGACCCTTATGCTTTCGTATGACAGAGCTCGAAAAGCCATCCTGAAGCAATTCCCTTCGAAACTCCTTCCAGACGGCTCTATCGTCGTCCGTGTACGCTGTAAGTATCGATCCATCATTACGATTGATTTTCGACATCAAATGTGCGGTAATGCCGTTGACAGCGACCCTAATCTCCTTGAGGTCCCCTCCCGCATCATTCATCTGTCTTTCCACCCTTCCCATCGTGCCCGTCGACACCATGTTCAAGAACAGAGACATAGCCGACGTGTAATACGTCAACTTGCCCCTCAGTCCTCCCAGACCCTCCATCTTGCCATTCCCGAACTCTATCTTTTGCCATAGCTTCCTGCCGCTCCTTCCTTGTTCGCTAAGCGCGTTGTACTTGGTTAAACCCTGATCAAGCGCATTCAGAACCTTCTTACATCCATCGACGATGACCGTCAACTCTTCCTTAAACGTGCCGCCTGATTCTTCATCATTTATTGGGCTCCCGGGCTTCTCAGCCTCCTGCTCAAGCCGTCGTAGCACGACATGCAGACACAAGACCTCCCGCGTTAGCTCATCGTGCTCCCCACATGCTTTACGAGCCTGTTGAACGGTCTTCCAAGCTAGCTGTGTGAGTAAGATGGCATCGCCAATGCCGTACCCGAAGGACATGGCCGGCTAATGCAACGGAAGGGGGGGAGGGGGGCGAGACGTTGCTTCTTGGCCGAGACGCTGCTCGCTTTGAGATTCGGCAGTAATGGCCAATCGTAATATATGACCGGTCTTGTGAAAGACACCGTTCGCAGTGATACTCATCAACGCAGAGTGAGCTTGTTCCATGGCGAGGCTGATGTTGGGGCTGCGCAACGTCGAGGCTGACGCTGCAGGGTGGTGGGAGGTGCATATCCTACGGGTATGACCAATGATACGGTCTTGCTTTTGAGCAAACAATGCCATCCCAAAGATCCCAAAGCGACATCACAGAGTTCCAGATGATGCTGCAGTCTGGTTGAATGACGAGGGCACTGGAATTCCCGTGGACCATCTGCTTGCATGGGAGGTTCTGACGGGAACGCTCAGCAAAGACCGTACTACCCCCACCCCCCGGAATGCAGGAACGAATCACGCAGTTGGTGGCATGTATCCATCGTCCCACTCGAACGCAGCAGTACTCAACGCCGGCGTTCACTTCATCTCGACCCCGGGTGAACGGAACACCCTAAGTGTGTATGCGGAATAACAACGACCGAAAGTGGAATGTACCCGGACTCAAAAAGATAGGCGTCCGATAGGTACGGACGGGAACCAGAAAATGGCACACGAACACAGCACTCCAAGTGGGGTGGAGGAAGGCGTAGATTATTCTCTACGGAAGCCTGCAGCATGATACCTTTCTACCCCTCCAAGCCGAGCACGCCACTGTATGCCGCTCGTGCTGTCCAGGAAGTGGATTACTTGACAGAGCGAGGACACCAATCGGTCATTCATTCCACTTGGCCGGATATCGCTTGAATCATCGGTGTCTCGCTCTATCAAGCAATTCACTTCCGGTCAGCTGCACCATCAATATCATCTTCTTCACGAACCACCTTCTGCAAAGCACTCCCTCCCCAGTGACCATATCGACCGATCAATCGTAACCGACCCCAACCTTCCCACCCGGATCCTCAGACAAATCATTCCATCACCCGCTAGTAGACAAAGTTACGCGTACTATACAGCAAGCACCAGCAACCTAATCCGTAAAACGCCGGCCGAAAAAGAAAAGCCACCTACCGTTGCCCGGGTCAGTCCCAGCGTGAGACTCTCACCGATCTGGACCCAGTCCCAGTCATTTCCGTTTCCGTTTCCGATACGTTCCCCCATCCACGCGACCGAAGCAACTCAAACACCGACCCGCAACCTTACCTCCAAGAGGGTTTTTCGAGGCACCACGCAACCAATCAACAAACAGCCTCGTGCGCCTGAAAACCACTCCACCTGTAAAAAGGGAGAGAAAAAGGGCGCCCCGCCCCGTTTTTCCAAATGATACGTACGGTATACGATGGAAACGATGAAGCCAGAGCGTGCGCATGTAAGGGTGCGGTGCCCTCGTGCCGGGGCTTGCATACATATGCGGGCTGCATGCAGTAGACGCCGCAGCCATGCAGGACGACACGTGTGCAATTGGTGAGGTGAGGGAAGGAAGCAAAGCCACCTCCGGGCCGCGTTTGAGGTTAGCATACGGCGTGGGAGGTAGTGCTGCCGATTGACTTTTTTCAAAGGTGAGATGACTTAAGGACGGAGGGCTTCATATGCACGGGGGCGTTTGTATGTGGCATTGTACTTGGATGGAACATGTGTGTGGTAGATCATGAGCGCTGAATGACTTGATGGAATTGTTCATTACATAAGCTATCTTTGTAGGACGGGCTCATTGATCATCAGGAAGCTGGGAGATTCCCGCGGAAAGAGTGGTTTTGCGGTCCTTGCCGACGGTGAGATGTTGGTTGAGTGCAGATCTGGCACCGGAAACCCTCGAGAAATGGGTTGAGTCTGCTCTCGAGAGATTTTGCGCACAGCTTGCCGTTCGGAATGCGATGTTCCGAGCTCTCAGCTTGTGGAAGTCTCTGGCGGACTCGAAACCCATTAATGTTCCTGCTTGTTCAGGCTCATATCCTCGCGATTGCTCAATGCCTTGTCCCCTCTTGTCCTTCAACAGCAACATCTTCGTGGCTTTCGCGCTGCTTACATATATTCCCGAGATCGAGAAATGTAGCCTGGTAATAGCATCTCTACCCCGGCCGGCGGCAATCCCTACACTCTTCTCTCCTCGACGCGAAATCCTCGAGTTCCTTCACCCCCTTCAGATGGCCGGAACCCAGACAGTAGCACAGCTGCTGCGGCAACAGCTCCTTATCGGTCGTAAGCGAGACCAGCTTGACGCCTTTGATCTTGGTGCTGGTCTTGGTTGGTGAACTATGTCGAACGCAAGCACTGCTCAGTGTGTATTCTTCACGTCTTCTATTCAATCAACCCTAGAGGGGGGAATCGAAAGAGTAGCGCTCATACATCGGGTTTGCATTCCCCTCCGCTGTCTGGAGTGAATAGATGCGCCAGATTCGCGCCATTTGCGACTTTACCCACTCTCTCTGCCCTTCGCGCAAACATTCCGTCCTGGTCTTGAGCGACGTCTTCATGGGTTCGAGAAGATGCCAGCCGCCAAGGGCGGCGGCGGCACGGCGGTGGTCCTCACATGCCTTTTGCGTGCCGTTGTAGGGGTACTCGATTCCTTCTCTGTCGCCTGGGCTGCCGAATGTCTTTGTGCCGAGAGCGTAGGGCACCGAAGCGCACATGTCGTCAATCATTTCTTGCGTCATCATCTTAGCGTATATAGCGCGCCAGTACCAATGGTGCTCGCAAGGCTTGTCGAGCCAGGCGATGCAGTCGAGAATGATCGTCTGCACTTTCACGCGAGCGGAGCGGTAGGCATTCCAAATCGATTCTACCCAGAGGTCAAGGTAGATGTCCTTACGGTCTTTGTAGATGTAGGCATCGCGGGAGACGGTGGCTGGTGGGAGGTCGAAGTGATCGGCTGAGGTCCACTTCCATCCTTCGGGCAGGCTTTCGGGCCAAGCCGCCACGAGGAGGTCCACGGATATGGCGTATTCGAGTAGATCGTTGACTTCTTTTTCGGAGTCGGGGCTCCATGGGAGGAGGAGGGCGGATCTGGCGCACGAGCGGAGATCGGCGATGTTGATTGTGGCGGAGGTAAGGCGGGCGGCGGCATTTTGAGGGAGTGACTTGAACATTGCACTTAAGGCATCAGGGCATCTCTTGAATGAGGTGCCTTCTTCGATGGCATGCTCGACCTTCTTCCTCTCAGCCCAAGGTCAGCCTCGTGAGGGATCGGTACTTACAAGCTGAGAGCGGACAGAGAAAAGCAAGCCTACAGACAGCGACGACTTGCAATTCTCCTGACCTCGATGCATCACCAGAGCCGCTGCTCCGGCATTGTGCGTTGAAACCATACTGGACTTCTCGGCGTCTGAAGGAGTTGTAGCCGTAGCCGTAGCAGCGATTTTCTAGAGGGGGGCAGTGATCAGCAAAGGTCGAGACTGGAGTACAGTTTGGTAGAGGCTATGAAAACCGCATAAGTCGTGTTGCTGCAGTCCGGATGCAATGCGAGATCCCCAACTACTAGTCGAAAGCAAGAGGGTAAGTGCCACTATCGCGCATGGAAATGGGATCTACCCGGTGCAATTGCCATTGCATGAGTTTGCAGGCCGCGTAGATAATTGAGTGCAATAGAATACGAGCAGGAGGTTGGCTTGCTTGTATTGGGTTGAGTATGAGTATACACCAGTTACAAGGGCGGGATCCCAAGTCCTGCCCAATGCTGATGGGATTGAACCCAACCACGGCACGTCTTTTAGACAAAACTCTTGGCTTCCTGTCTGGCAATATTTCTCTCTGTGAAACATGCCTTGAAAGGGTACAAGCAAAAGAGAACAGCATTGCGAGAGTTGCGAGAAGATCGCCATGACACAAGGTTGCGGACAAGAGGCAGGAAAGTGAAGCAACGTACCTCGAACAAGCCCAGGAGAAGAACCGCCATCAACGTCTCATCCTTCCTCGACTCTTCCGGATTTCGAATGGCCGCACTCGTCTTCCGCAACGCTTTCCCAAAGATGGTTCGACCAAGCTGCTGGTCATTGCGTCTGGTCGGCGAACCTCCGGAGATCATCAAAGCCACTGATGAAGTAGCTAAGGATAAAGGCGAGTCAGCACTAGTGGTAGTGTACAGAGGTAGTAAGTGTTCGAGATGGCCTTCTATACTGTCGGGATGGCGAGGCAGAAGGACGAAATCGAGGAAGAAGGCACAGATGGCTTGTTGCTCCGGGAAATCGTTGAACATCCTTGGGACAGGTTCATTTGGTGAATAACGTTTGGCAACAGCGCGGGACGGGTCTCCCCCGGGATTGACAATGGCCCACGTCGTTGACACGGGATCCTCTGAAGATGCAGACTGAGGTGGTGAGGGAGGCTTTGGCCCTTCATCTTGTTGCTGCTTCTTGCGTTGGGCCTTGCGCCGGACTGCTTTAGTCTGGTCACGTAGGACGAGGTCGAAACGGGCAAGGTAGCCAGGGCATTGCCTTTTGGTGTTGATGCACTGAGAGCAGGCCGGGACCGCTTCATCGCACTGCCGAAGGGTGAGACGGGGATTTGTGGTAGGGAGCGGGTGGCTTCAATGAGCCGCCCCTTACACGTACCTTGATCTTCCGCTTTCTGCAATTCTGGCAGCCGGCACTAGGCTTTCCTTGATAGACCATGGCGGTGAGACACTTGACAGAAGATGATGAGATGTGAGGCTATTGAATTGGGGGTTCGGGATTAGGACAAAAGCAGTATGTCTTACGAGCGATGAGGGAGGGAAGGTTGGGTTGGAATGTATCTAGATATCATATATATAAAAGTTAGAGGAGAGAAAGAAGAAGGAAAGATCTTTATGAAGATGCTCAGCTTGTGGTCTTGTTCGGGTTCTTGGCAACAGCAGAGCATTTTTAGGGTCATTGGGTCATGCACCTCGCACGCTAGCGGTGGATGGCGTTGTGCGGGAGGCTTTCACGCGGTCCTCGTACCAAACTCGAAGTGGTCCGAGTTGCGAACTGACTAACCGGGCTAACCGCTCCAAGTGTAGAGCGACGGTGGCACCCGTCTTCTGGGAACCTTAAGGCTTGGTGCAAAGTCTCCACCGCCAAACCACCCCACCTTGCCAACCGTTCCCAAGTATTATTACGTTCCCAATTGTAACTAGGGGCTTTAGAGCAGTATCGGATTGAAGCTTCTTTCAACATCAGAGACTATGCAGGCACCCATCTCGAAATAAGGGGTTGCACGACGCCTCAGACCATCATGAAACATGGCGTCGTGGAGGTTATGGCATCATTTTGTTTTGCGTCAGCTACAGGACTCATGGCTTCAGCGTGTTGGGTTTCACCTCTGCTTCATCAATCTGAGACGAATTGAAGTCACGGAGATTGTCGTGGGATGGTCTACTTTCTTGCTTGCTGCGTAGAGTCAGCTGTATGTTGAGTTCCGGCGTTCTGTAATTAGCTGTTGGCAACAATCCAGCAAAGACGAGAGGGGTATCCCTGTGGCACGGGAGATAAAGTACCTGCGCTGAGTTAGAAGATCCCATACGGTATCTCCACCGCCAAAGTACTTCCACAAATTGGACATTGATAAACAGCGCCTTCTCCAATCGCCATCGAATGCTTTGCCACAAGATCAGCCTTCGAAACGGTTCATATTCCCAAAGACGGAGAAAATCAACATGAAAAGGTAGACGTAACGTCCGTCACATGCTCCACGTGGACTCACACCACGTGGAAAAGTTCCAGTCCTTTCGGCTTCACACCACGAGTTGTTGCAAAGAACACAATCATGACGTCTACGACTGCCACTTGGCTGACACTTCTCACCCTTCCCACCCTCCATTCATTCATTTTTCACCGCACCTTTGTTCGGATATTTCTCGCCTTTTAGTAGAGAGGTGTGGGTTGGTACCACCGGGGCTGGCTGCATCAAGGCTGCGTCAGGGCTGCATGAGATGCCGCAGTCCGATAACGTGGGAAAGTGCAAGCCACGATGCGGCTGCGTCTCTTGGCAGTGGTAGTTAATGCAGGACGGCAAGCTTCTGTTTGAGGGTTTTGGGCTGAGGGACCCTGAGCATTTATAACTTTGCGTGAAAGATGGAGCATGCTGGGGGCCTTGGCAGTGAGAGAGTCCGTTGGAACTTGGCTGACGTGAGGGAGGATGCCTTGCACGAGGGTCATATTCCTTTGGCGGGAGCGGGGGTAGGGAGGAAGCCTTTCAAGCCGAGTTGGTGCACGAACGGAAAGGTTATGATCCAGCAGAAAGGTGCCATTGGAGATGAGGTCATGTTCGTGTAAAATTATCTAAAGAAGTATCTAAAGAGTCCTTGGTATCATTACAATTCTATCAACGCAGAAAGCAATCCCACTGCATGGACCTTCGCTCAAGAGCAAGGGTCTGCAGGTCAAGGACCAAAACAACAATGCATCACGCTCTATGATGCCCCAAAGTACCCTTTCCTGTCACCGTTAGGTGGAGACTCCGCATCATGAACCTTCTCCGCATCCGCCGTGGTGAATTCTCCCATCGGGCTGGTTGTCCCATGCATCTGCATCTCCGGGAACACCAATGCAGGATGGAAAGCAGTCAGGCAGAAGGTAGCAATGGTAATCATGACACTGTCCAAACCGATGAAGTCGCCCTGGTCCTGCATGATCGGGTTACCCCATCCATTGGCCATCTCACCAATACGGAAGACACAACGAGTGATAATGGTTAGGTATGCGAGGACGAGGCCGCCGATGAATAGTTTGAAGCGTGTCGCGTTCATGAGCTTCACAGCTGAATGTTCGAGCTCGGACCGGCGGGCGTACACCCTGGAGGCGTAGTCCCCAACCATACCTCCGAATATGAGGAGCGTGAATACTTGCCACACGATACCGGCCATCATCATATCGTTGCCAACATTCTGCAGCGAAGAGCCGTTATTGGCTGTAGCTGCAATCCCCCCGCCGGCTCCCTGTATGATGAGAGAGAAGAGGTCGGCGAGGCAGAAGATCCAGGTGTAGAACTTAGGTCGGATGCGGGAGAAATTGGCGCCGAGCTCGAGAGCGATGTGTTTGAGGGTGAGGTATACACCGGCGGTGATGAAGGCAGGGGAGATGATGAGACAACAGATCTGGATTTCGAATCCGTTGCTCGACCAGGGGTTGCTGTGGAGCATTATTCTTCCGACATAGCCTGGTGTGGATGTCAGTGGGGAAAGTAATGGAGTGAATGTGAATGGGCATACCGATTGCTTCTCCGAGACAACCAAAGCCCAAGGCGACCAGGTATGTCCATGTCTTGTATCTTATGCCGAGGACCAATTGGATGCCCAGGCAGAGTGCGAAGAAGGCACAAAAGAAGGCATTTGCGCCAAGATTGGGGTAGTAGCCGTAGATGGTGAGGTCGACCGGGCAGTATTCACTGACATTGGTGCAGTTCTGTACTGAGTCTTTGGTTGCGGGGAGAATTGTGGGTTGAGGTGGGTTCGACATAGCTGTAGTAAGGGGTGAGGAGGGAGAGAGGAGATGAGATAGGGGGTGGAAGTTGGGAAGGTGTTTGAGAGTTGAAGAGCGGTGTGGAGATTCTGAGATAAAACAGGAGAGTTGTCCGAAAGATATATTATTGCTGACTGCCTTCCACTTATTCACACACGACAGAGAAGAAGGTTTACTTATATACCAAGCTCGCTTATACATTGCAAGCGAATATAGGATTCGTTGCTCAGCCATGTCCACTCCTTAATGCTTATTCGCTGCCTGGTGAAGCGTCGACGTACTCGTCAGCCAATATTGACATAGCCCTCGAGTCGTGCGTGATCCTGCCGGCGCGGTGGACGCACAAAGGTCCGATTCCGCCTCGGATATTTTCAATCCTCATACGATTACGCGGAACTGTTAACGAGCTGCTAACCTTTTCAGACTTAGGCCTTGCAGATAGTATAAACTTCGATACTTCTGATTGGCGGAGACGTAAAGAGTGGGGTCAGGGTTCCGTCAGAAAATCGGTCTGCGAAACTCGGAGTCGGGCACGGGCGCACGGCTCGTCTGATTAGGAGTTAGAACAGCCCGCGCCATTAGGGGTATTCGGAGCAATGTTACACCTGCCACTGCCAAGCCTGGGCCTATTTACCCGAGTTACGAACCTTGAAAATTCACTAGGATCTCAGGAGTTTGACGACCCAATCATGAGAAAGCTACCTAATGCTCCCAGCCCTGATGCAATATATCAATAAGTCCAAGAATTCCTTGTTAATATATTTATAGCCAGTGATCTAGAACTCAATTAATACGATGCGGAGATTCTAGCCAAAAAATTACGTGTCAGCGGCGCCGGTCTATACTTGTTGAGCAGTCAGACTTTGATAAGAATTTGTGGCGATGCGTACGAGAAATGATCTATAAAGCCGTTCAATATGGACAATACGGTTATGTGAGTTTATACTCGAAATACACTTTCTAATTCTTGATTTTTAATAACTGATTTAGTGTAGGAAGGCGGCTATTGACCTTATCTTAAGGTTACCTCAAAGCTTCTCTCATTGGTGGCTACGGGAAACGGTCTATATCAATTTACCAGCGACCCCAAGAGTAGAAACTTCATCATCTTCTTACACGCACTGTGCTCTACCGACAGAGTTATCAGGTCAAGACGATTCTAGCCTGAGGGAATCAAGATACAAAAGGCAGAACGAGTATCGAGTTGGACGCCTTGGTGATTCAGAAACGAATCAAGTTAGGCATGATATTAGGAATCGTCTTGATCGCAAGGCCTTGACACGCTAGCAGTGGGCCCTTGGTATGCTAGGATCCCTGGAACTGTGACAGGTGCGAGCTGTTTCATCACCGCTGGTGAGAAAGATCACATTTGGTGGCACGGTGGCTAGATTTGCATCTTTGAGATTTCGTGTCAGTGGTTCAAAGTTCGGCGAGAGGATCTTCGCCTTAAAGAATATGGCTACGGACTTTTAAGAAGTCGTAGGTAATCAATAATTCAATCGAATTGCTTAGCCTTACGAAGGAAACATGTGTCTCCCGTGATGTCCCGTGTGGTAAAACGCGTGAAATGTGTGACCATCAAAGCAAACCAGCCTAGACCCAAACAGCGCCGACAAACCTCGGAGGTCGAAACAGCATCCGGCAGATCCAATGGTAGCAGCCCATCGTTCGCAACACCACCATCCAGCTCGTCGACGAGCCCAACCCCGACCAACGCACGCCGAACATAGATCCCAAGAAACACCTCCCGAAAGCCACTGTCGAGCATCCAGTCAGGGGTCCCCCCTAGGCGATGCGACATGCGAGAAGTATGTCCGACAGGGTTCTGACGCCAAAACACCCGGTTCCTGGGCTTGAAAGGGTTGTACGGAGGGAAGAAACACAAAAACGTGCACACGCGTAGGGTCTGCGAAGGAGCGTTGCCCTTGGGGTCCTGGCCATGAGTGTGGGGTCCAAGCCCGGTCGACGGCGCAGTGAACGAGGTAGCGCAGAGAAAATATGTTCTTCTCACATCAAGCCTGTGTTGTAGATAGTTGCGGAGTCGACAGACAACTAGCGATGTCGCCGGTGGGAAAAGGAAAGCTCGATGGCCGCAAGCATCATCGTGTTCGGACAGCAGTTCAAGCCCGGTGGCAAGTGAAATATCGATGCTGCAACATGGGTACTATCTCCCTGCCCCAGACGGACCTCATCGAGACATACGGGGCACATTGATTACGGTGTTGTTGCTGCAAACCCATGGATGCGCGTCTTCAATGGCTGTTGATTTGAATAGAAGTACCGGGAGGACTGTACATCAACGAAAAAAACAGCCTTGCATCGTGATTTGAAGTCGCATGCCTCGTCACCACCACAAACATCGATCCTCTAGACCTGAATATCGTACTCCCCTTCGCACCAACATCAGCCCCTATCACTCCTCTCCCAGCCATCACCCACATTTCCACAGAACGCTCACGTGCCCCCAAGACAATCGTCACAAGTACTCGGGTTCAACAGCTCGCATGTAAGGTGGCCAGGCAAGCAGGGAGCATCGGGCAATTGGCCGGGCCTAGTTGTTCCGCGATGTAAGTTTGGACGAGACAATCCTCATTGAGCTACTCGATGGCGCAGACGGTGTCTGCGCCATTGCATCTTTGTAGGGCGGTTTGGAGCCTATGACGCGGGTCAAATTCATCAGTGGATGCCTGGAAATTAGTGGAGGTTGTGCTTGTGTATTCGTAGACCGCGTTTGCGGATGACTGCTCTTCGTGCCTGACGAGGAAAGAGTTAAAAAGGGCCTGTTGTTACCCATTATAGATATCCACTGGAGTGATCTGAGCCTTGTTGTAGGCATCTACATCATCGGTCCCAAGAAATCCATTGTGTTTGGTCTTAGTCATGCAGGTGAAGTTGGTCGTGCAGTGGCCGCAGGTGTTGGTGGAGCTTTGGGCAAAAACCCTGATTCGGATCGTGCTGCTAGACTCAGACATTGGCTGCCCAGTAGCAATGTTTTCGTTGGTCAGCAACACCCAAGAAACCTGTCAGCGGACCACAAGAGCCGGTAATGGCAATTGTTCTCTCGCCCCCCTTGGCCGTCTTCATGGCAGAAAGGGTCGCCAACGGTGTTTCCATCGAGGGCAATGTCGGCAATGGCTGATGGTATTAGGAGAAGGTATGCACTTGCCACATATTGAAAGATTGCCAGCTTCATGATGATATGCGCCTGGAATGCTGAAGCTATTTGTGCTTGGGGGTTGGGAGGAGGGGCACAAAGTGCGAGTGAGTGTGATGAAGAGGGAAGAAGAGGGAAGGAAGCCTGTGAAGTCAGGACTTATGGGTAGGAGACGACGAGGTGGAACATTGTAGTGAGAGCAGACATTCTCCGTCAAATTCAAAGACACAAATTTGACGTCGGTGATTCTTCCGCTACCCTCCAGGCAATGCAAACAAGGCATTTTCTTGGGGCCCCAAACACCTAAGTATATCCCGAGGGCAATCCGAGCTCACGCCGTGGGCAACCATCCTGGCATGCAGACTGGCAAAAAGGTCGGAAACTTGTAGTTGGATCACTGTACTGTTGTAGATTTCGGCAGATGGAAGAGCAGTTGGAGAAACCGAAGACGAGGATTGGATCTCATAATGCGGATGACACTTGCCATACTTTCCATCATCAAAGCTTCGCGTTGCCCTTGATGACATCTCTCAAAAGCTTCAATCCCTCGACCGCAAATGCAACCATGTTTCCTTCTCTGTCACCTCCCAATCCTGTTTCAGCTTCTTTCGTTGATGTTGCTTTCTCCGTCGCTACCGCAAGCGCAACGTAGCCCCTACAATATAGACTCAAGTCAGCCACTAACCCTCGATTCGCAAGCGCGCTGCCAGGAAATTTGGCAATAACAATGGTAGAGAAGGCCTTGAATATTGGCAATATGAGCACGAAGTTTGGGGTTCATGGTTCATAAGGACTCTGTCCGGATTGTTTCTTCATATCGTTTGCCATATCTTCTTCTCGTATGACCTAGGAGCGCACAAAACGTGAAAGATGCCAGTGCATAAGGCTGCCGGATTTTCTGGCAGCTTGCCTGATCGGTCATCCGAGATACGAATGTAAGACTCACGGGGTCCGGTTCCTCGTATTCCCTCCTGTCGGTCCTGCGGTCCCACTTTCACAGACGCAGTACGTAGCGCTTAGCGTCCCCCTCACATTCTCCGCCAAACCCTTCACCACATCCTCCGTAGGGCCTTTATATGACTTCAAATGGTCTTGAGTCCACCCCGCAAACGCAATGCGTGACTCAAGCGTGTACAGCGTCAAGCCGCCTTTGTAGATCTTCGAAGCGCCAGGAGTAGAGAGCAGGGAGGCGGAGATGAGACCGCCGGCGGCCTATGACAGGATTTCAGGCATTGGTGCATTTGTTGGGCTGCGAACTAAAGGCAAGAAGGATGCTGGAGAGGCTGAGCGTACTGTTTCGGCCACGCAAACGGTTTCGGAGCGTTCTTTGAGGAGAGCGGAGACTTCAAAGGCCATTTCGCGGACTGCTGGTGGAGGGAAACCGGAGGCCATTGTCGAAAGAGAAGCGAAGTAACGGAGCTTGACCGCGTGGAATGTTGATTTCCTAACCAACGTAGTAGTCGAGATGCAGTCGCGGAGGATAAAAGGCATGTACTGCAATTCAATTGGGATAAAGGCCCTGACATGGAGCCATCCAAGCAGTCCTAGCTCAGCCTTACGAGCTCTCCCATTCCACCTTCCTCTTTAGTCCGAGGCGTCTCTTCTTTTTCTTTCCCCACCTGGATATCGGAATCCCACGCTCTTTATCATGCGAGTCAATCAGTATCTAGCAAAGTGTCACCCAAGCTTCCTGCAGTTCGACGTCATGGTGGTGGTCGGCAGCGCTCAATCGCAGCTAAATGCGAGCAAGATTGCGATGGAAAGAGAATCCAAGCAGAATTCTACAGCACTGGCTTTCCTGTTGAACCTCTCCAGTCCATCGACCTTCACTAGATATACGCAGCAGCAGCATGGCAGACGAAAAAGTACCATCATACCCTGACGTGGAGCAGACCCTCTTCGATGATAAAGATGGGGCACCGCCGGCCCAAGTCCTCAAGCATGCAAATGATGCCGATGAAGCGATGAAAGCTTTTGAGGACCATGACGGGGAACTGTTGGTCCTAGATGAAGCGACGAACAGAAGACTGCTGCGGAAGATTGACCTCAATATTCTGCCGGTACGTGTAGCACACAGCGACGGCAAAGGTGCACTGCTGACATGGCTATAGCTGCTATGCGTTGTTTACGGTCTCAACTATCTCGATAGTATGGCTTCCACCTGATTGCCGGTGAACTGGTTTGACATGAGACAGAAACAACGCTATCATATGCCAGTGTGATGGGCATCAAGAAGGACATCGGCCTGGTAAATGATGACTACCAATGGTTGGGCAGCATGTTCTACTTCGGTACGCTCACCATATTATACTGTCTCCCTAAGCCTCATTACTGACGCATTGCAGGCTACCTCGCCTGGGAGTATCCAACAAATCGACTCCTCCAGCGCCTCCCTCTCGCCAAATACTCCTCCTTCTGCATCATCCTGTGGGGCCTGGTCCTCTGCTGCATGGCAGCTGTGAAGAACTTTTCCGGCGCCATCGCCGTTCGCTTCTTCCTTGGTATCTTCGAAGCTGCCGTGACACCCGGCTTTGCACTCTTCTCGTCCCAATGGTACACCAAGAAAGAGCAAGGAACACGAATAGGAATCTGGTTCAGCTTCAACGGCTTTGCACAGATCTTTGGCGGATTAGTAGCTTACGGCATTGCTAAAGGCGCGGCGCTGCACGGCTCATCCATTGCGCCTTGGAAGATTGTGTTCCTCGTCACGGGTCTCCTGACGGCGACGATCGGCTGCCTCTTCCTCTTTTTCGTCCCAGACAACCAGCTCAACGCACGCTGGCTCAGCAAAAACGACCGGCGCCTAGCCGTCGAAAGAGTCCGCGTCAATCAACAAGGGATCGGGAACAAGCATTTCAAAGCCTACCAACTGAAAGAAGCCCTCCTCGACCCCTTAACCTGGGCCATGGTCTTCTTCGCCCTCACCGGTGACATCCCCAATGGCGGCATCAGCAATTTCTTCAGCCAACTCATCGTCTCATTCGGCTACACAGCAGACCAAAGCCTTCTCTACGGCACACCCGGCGGCGCTGTTGAGGTTGTCTCTCTGATTGTTTGTGGCTACCTAGGTGACCGCTTGGGCAACAGAATTTTGGTTAGCACCTCTGGCTTGATGATTTCGATACTTGGCATGATCCTCATCGTTGCTTTGCCCTTATCCAATGACGGCGGCCGTCTGGCAGGCTACTACCTCACCCAAGCAAGCCCTACGGGCTTCGTTGCCCTTCTGTCGCTCATTTCCAGCAATGTAGCCGGCTACACTAAGAAAACAACCGTCGCTGCTTTGTACCTCATTGGCTACTGCGTAGGCAACATTATCGGGCCGCAGACATTCAGACCCAAAGACGCCCCACGCTACGTACCCGCCGAGATAACAATCATCTGCTGCTGGGCCGCATGCCTAGTAGATCTGTTGTTCATTTGGTGGTACTGCCAGAATCAGAATAAGAAGAAAGCGGCCTTTAGGGCGCAGCCGCAGTATCGGAAATTGGAGAATCAGGAGTGGCTAGATTTAACTGACAAGTGAGTCTGAACCCATCGCGGCGATGGGGACGACAGGCTGCACTGGGAATGAGTATGCTGACTTGCTTCTAGAGAGAATCCGGAGTTTGTATATACCCTCTGAATGACCTTGGTTGGGATATGTAACCAGTAGTGGGTTAGGCTTAGGCAAAAGATACGCTAGGCTTTGGGAATGGCATGGGATAGAGGGATAGACTGTTTGAGTATGGTACATATAGGGGCGAGTGCACGACTTGTTGAATAACGCCGTCTCTGGCAAAGGAGATGCCGAATCTATCTCTGCATTATATCAGACCGCTCCCGAATACCTTGCTGATGTTTACCATGAACAATCTATTCAATGGCCCCTCTTCACACTCCATCGAAACAATCATCAATGTATGAAACAATCTCGTAAGAATCTGCTACCGTTCTCAACGATACGTATTTGAGACAACCCACCCTAGCCAAAAATATCCCAAGGGTGCCCACCCTCCGAACGTGGAGTACGCAGCGTCTTCTGAATCAAGAATGTGGCTATGCTCAATCAAGAAGCCAGAGATGAATGGTGCAGTGGAAAAGGCCTAGCTGGAAATATACGAATAATATGGCTCGGACTATATACTGCCTACTCAGAAAGGTGTCAACGACCGCAACAACGCCGTCACCTAGAGGACCGGTTTTCCAACGCAGATAACCGCATGCAAGATGCTGTACTCCGCTTGCACCTATCTTCAATGAGCGGCTCGGTACTTGTCTCGGGAGACCATCAGGTCACATGCCCCGCACGATGACTCCGCTCAAAGTCTCACTTCGCCAAGCCATGATTCAAGGCGGCTTGTTGCAGGATGTCAATGTATGTATGGACCGGTCCTCAGGGCGCAAGGGAGCTGCAAAGGTTGCTCTCCTCTCAACGCTTGCTTGCATGCATGATGAGGTATAGGTACTTCATCATCTATCCGACGCTCGAGCGATGACCAAGTCAACGTGGATCGCTTGCCTAGTCCGTCTGGATTCCCGCATAACAGCTCGCCGCCGTAGTAGGACAGAGTACAGAGTGCACATGCTGCAGCCAAACAAACAGGGGCACGTCATGCTTGTCATATCCTCCGTCCATTCATCGCAGTGCACGAAAACATCGTGGGCAATCACGAGAATAACAAACCTTATCGATGATTTCCCCACAGAAATACAGCTTTCCCCAGGGAATTTTGCGGATCTTGTTAAATCTTTTCCTTCACAGTCCCAAGTGCACTCTGCCCTGGACGTGCTCGTTGAAACGCCTTGCTTTTGAGAAATAGTATTTTGCAGCCATGAGAGACAAAAAAGAGCTTCACAGTCGTGAACCTAACCGCAGAAGTCCAAGAGCTGTTCAGGATCAAGACGAGAGAATACCCCGGCGTAAATCAAAGGTCGCGGATCCTCAAGATGACAGAAATCGAGACAGTCCATTGACAAGACATCGATCAGTAGCCATCCGCGCTCACGAGAGAGAAAGAGGCCGGGACAGCATCTCCTATTACCAAGGTCGCTCTAGCCATGCCAGCAAATACATGTCGTCGGAGGAAGCCCAAAAGGCCATACGTACTCTCTTCAAGCAGGTGAAAGAGGTTATGTCATTCTTTGCCAATTTCAGAGAGGAGTATCAACGGGAAGTTCGTGGTATTGAGGTATACGCCGGCCACACCATCTTGGAGAAGCTGTGGGAGCGCAAAATCGAGGGTAATGACAGCAAAGATCTTCCGAGTAAGGGTCAGTCCAAAAGCGATGTTGTTGGTGTGCATTCTGGGTTCGATGACGCTTCATATCGGCTTTGGGGTAGCCTCAAGGACGCGTATGAGGGTGCTAGGACTCATCCTTCCGAACAAAACAACGGTATAGCTAGGAAGCTGGACATTGCTATAAAGGATTTCCGCAAATTGCTCGAGGAAGTTCGGACCAGGTCTCAGGGAATGGACGGTCTGATCAAGGAATTAACAGTGCTCAAAGTGGTGCTGGAACTCGGTGGTGCTGGGACGGCATCTCATGACGACAGAGCGAACCAACGGCCCAGGACCCATGCCGCTGGCCGTGGGCATCCGAGGGACTCCTGCCCGGAAGGTGAAGATGCACGGTACGAAGGGATGGGAGAGGATAGTGGTAGTGAGGATAAAGGCCAGCATGACGAACAGTATGGTGAAGACTCTGAGCGATCCGGTGGAAGGGAGGAAAGCGAAGTCGGTCGTGATGGAGAAGGCCAAGGTGCGTTCCCCACAGATCAATCTGTCTAGTCGACAACTAACGTGTAATAGGGGATCGTGGTGGTGAGGGCTGGGATTAGTAGGCTGCACTTGGGGGTATTCTTGTTGTTGCCGCTCGGTCTGTTCGTTCAGCTTCCCATTCCTGGCCATTCTAGCTTCCTTTTAGCTGTGCTCTTAATTAATCACGAACTGATGACCTACGAAATGTAGTCCGTTCCTTGTTGGTCTTCGAAACCGTGACTTCATCTCCGACATCAATCACCTGCCCAGCTGCTGCTCCCTTTAAGAACCCATAACGCCCAAAGATCGGGCTGTACTTGTTGCCCTTATCTACCCTCCGATCTTTCATCAGCTTCTTAAGGATATTTGCTTCGCCGGTTCCAGATTTGCCTGTCGAGTAGTCGACGTTGATGCTGACGCATCTTGCACAGTTCTGTGTCAGTACGATCTCTGTGACGTTATTCTTCTCCTGTTTTTTGTTGGGGTTTATGGTAATGCTACCCCAATAGTCCTCCTCGTATGCTGCTGCGGCACCTGAAAGGACAATGTTGGGTCGGAACTTCGTGACATCCATTCGTGTACCGTCTTGTAATCGCGAATCGACATCTCGCAATGACTCTTCTGTGATGACGAGGTAGGCGGCAACATCCGCGAAGCTGATACCCTCTCCTTCCACATCCTTACTGGCTAAGAGGCTTGGTATACTCGTAGTGATGCTCGAAAGCCACGACTTGCTGGCAGCGCCGCCATCCTGAGCGGCATTGGGAGACAAATTCCCGAGCACCGGCCGTTGATTCGGCCCAAGGTATGACAGCATCACATCATAGCCAAAGCACTCTGAGAACCAAGCATTGACCCTCTCAGGCATCTTGTACCCCTTGGCAGGACTCTGGTGGAGCCGCACATCCATCTCTTCCAAGTGTGCCACCTCAGGCTCCAACTGTATCTCCAAGCTCCTTCTCGCTCTGTCTGGAGGATCGTAGGTGACTGTGAACGTCCCGTTCGAGTTGATGCTCTGGAGGAATAGTGCTAGCTCTGGGTAGTACGTGATGGTCATGTTCTCCAAGTTGCCATTGGCGTGGCTTTTAGAGCGGGGCGAGAATGTTTTGCCATCGTGAACTTTGACGAGCATAAAACGCCGGTCGTAGGGAAATCCATGTGGAGAGGCGATGGCTGTTGTGAGAGGGACGCTGCGGAGGGACTTGATAGGGTAAGTGTAGAGCTGTTGGAGGGTGCACGGTCAATCTAGCGCTACTGAGGAGAGACGGCCGGAAATGTAAGACATACCTGGGTGATTCTCATGTCTGCGTTTGCGCATAGCTTTCTGCTGTGGTTATGAAGGGAGAGTTGAGCGGCAGGAACAGAGAGGGCGGGGTCGATCGCGCTGTTTTGCCAAGTGCCAGCCAAGCTGCTAGAAGACTGCTGACATTCATTACTTATGATCATAGAAGAGCAACTTTGTGGGCTCTTAGAAACTCTACGAGTCAGCAAATAGCCCAGTCGAAGATGGAATCTAAGCCCTTGATTGTGCATACAGTGAATAATTCGAGGCCCCATAACAGCCCTGGCCAGCTTGGCTGCTGTGAGTCAAGAGACAAAGCATGAAAGGCTGGAGGCATCCCATCTCCACGAGTCGAAATAAACAAGACTCCGAAATCTAGAAGATATCATCTCAACGCTTTTTGTTCGCCAATGTTGGTGAAGAGCCCATGCCTCGATGCTTCTGCAGACCTTCCCCACAACTTTCTTGTGACCGCTCTCGAAGTAGAACTCGTAGCACTGAAAGCCTTCGCTTCTCATTTTTACCCTATGTCCTATCCCATCATCCGGCAGGGTGCATCATTCAAGGATTCGGCCCTACAGCCAAGATATTGTGCACCCCAGGCGCCAGATGACGGGATAGCCTCGTGATGGGGGGTGAATTTGTTCCTCTCTATCGCCTTCTGATTGGCACATTCCAATCACCACAGTGCGAAGACCGTCAGTCCGTCTTCTGTGGTTCTTTCGTTCTGTGCATTTCTAAAGTCTCAACAGAGTAACGAGGGTATGAACGTATTTTGTTGTGTGCCCGGGAAGAAGCTGGTCCCAAGCGAGGTGATAGCCTTATCAAGCCTTTCCTTCTCCGAGTGACAAAGAATAGCAATAGCACAACCATGACACATGGAAATAGTAATGCCCAGGGCGAAGCAGTGACGGGCGGTAAATCAAGGTCAGCTGCCAATGTAGAGATTCTTGGGGTCTTAGGCGCCAGGGGTTTGACAATGGTTTCCGGTGTGAGGGCACCGGCGTACATGGTAAAGCGGTTAAGTGATCCCCGAAAGCCTGTGTCAAGATTGTCCCAGTCCAGAGCGTTGAACCAGAGTTCTTGCCCGATCTTCGGAGAAGCGACGAGAGAAATAGACTCGTTGGTAAGCAGCTTGCCGTCAAGAAAGAGCTTGATCATGCCTGATTCTTTGCGATCAAAAATGATGGCCATCTCGTGTGGTCCGCTTTTGAGAGGTGCCAAATTGTATCAAGACGTCAGTCCCCTATTCCAGTGCGCCTCAAGTTCAAATACAAAACAGTATCCTCGACCTACCCGCCAGCAGAAACCCAGTCCATGTCATCAAATCTGTGGTACTCCTCTTTCGCCAACTCATTTCCATGCTATTGCACGTTCAGTGTAACGCCTGGAAAGGGGTCATCGTTCCTGATCCGAATGAGTATCTCTCCACCTGTCTCCATCCTGATCTTGAACAATCCACATACTCCCCCGTCAGAGAGCGATTCTCTGCCCATGTGGAACTCTGTTCGGACAGTCCAGACTCTTGTGTCCCAATCGGCAGGCACTGGCAACACAGCATAGGAGCCAGTCGTAAAGTTTCGAAAAGTAAATGCTGAGGTCTCGTCCTGCTGTAGCAAAGTCCCATTTGGCGCCCATCCATGACGGCTAAAGCCCGATGAATCGATCCATTTCGCGTCGAGATCGTCCGTTGCAATTCTGTAATCCGAGAACATCCTCTGGTCCTTTTTCTTTAAGTCTGAAATCCAGGTAATGGTGCAGTTGACGTTCTTGTCTTAAAGGAGTGGAATAATAGCCATCACTAATCAGGTTATCGAAGAGCTTCCTCAGCTTACAGAAGAGGGGGCTATCTATCACCCGCACAACGTTGGGTGTGAACAGCTTTGCAAAGTCCTATGTTGGATACCAAAGACGGGTACCATAACTTTTCTCGATGTCATGCCAGCTCTTCCCAAACGCCAGACTTTTAAGGGCCGATTCACTTTCATCTTCATATGAGAGAGGGTAGAACCATGAATGTCCGTCCAGCACAGTCAAATCAGGGTCCTTGTCCTGATACATTTCATATCCCGTCCTCGCCGATAAGTCTCCCCAGTTCTGCTTCTCCCTTACATCACCGTAACGCTGCATCCATCTTTTCAGAAACGGCGACCCGGCTTTTGACATTATCATGCTGTTAGGTATACCATCGCTTCCCTTTTGCATGGCCATTACTGTTGATCGACTGGTGGGATCGTTGATGACACCGTCGGAAGACTTCAAGGCTACCAGGTCGTTGTCCATCATAATGCCTAAGATACGTCAGTGTATGTTGCCCATAGCCCCAAGGGCTTGTAACGAACCTCCTTCCTCGTACAAGATCTTGAGTTGAACGACATCCACTTGGTGTTCCGAGCCCTCAATTCTAGCACCGTAGACTACCGTAGGCAGAGCAATCCTCCGGAGCCACACCTCTGGCATTTCCAGGACCCAATTCCGTATCTGTCCCTCCAGCTTGAGCTCCTCTGGCAGCCATACATTGACGGTTTCCATTCCAAGATTGACAATGGCAGCGCGGATAACAGCGTATTCTAGTCACGATAGCTGTCTCACATTATTGTAGACGAAATGGGCAATCTTGGGTATGTGTTTAGCTTGGGGGATGGGTTCTGCATGTTTGCCGAGAATGTGCTGGAAGTCGGGATCTAAGCATTGCGGATTGGAGTACTGGTGGTCCATTGGTGAGGAAGGCAAGTGACTCTACACGTGACCCGGCGAAAGAGGTCGAACTTCCAAGGCTTTCTGTAGAGTTAAAGATTCGACTCTTGGAAAACAGTATGAGAATTGTAGATGCTGGACGCTCTTTGAACTAAGTTTCGGAAAGGACAGTTCAAAAAGCGCTTGGTCGAAGCTGTTGGCATTCGAGATGGGGCATAGAGGCAGGATAAGTTTATTTTATTTCGAGCGCACCTACCGCCATGGCTTGAATAAGGCAAGCAATGATGAAACTTCTTTCATGATTGTTTGAGCCCGAAACATCGTCTATCGCAAGATCGCTTCAGACGAAGTACTCATACGCGGGCCGATTTTTCTCCGGTGTTACTTCCGAAGACAGATCCCGTAGGACCTGGTGCTGCATCAAGAGCTTGCTGGTGTCAGGCAAGCTGTCAGTAAAAGTGAAAGTCCGAGGCGCTGGAAAAATCAGATTTTGACAGCGTTTGGAAAATCAACCCGAAAAATCTGTTATCCATGAATAGAATCATTTGGTGCGGAGCATTGCATAACAGACGGCCTCATGGTTCACGCTGCTCTGATCGATCTTTTAGGGATACGTATCATCTCGACTGCCACTTTTTCTGGCACCAGCCTTGCCCAGTGTTTCGTGCCATTTCATAATTTCTTTTTCACATTTTCTTTCTCTGTGCTTTGACAAGGTAGCCAAGCTTGGTCAAATTAAACACTCTAGTAAAATAGTAGTCCCAGAACATTCCCGGCATCAACGTGAGGAGCAGCCAGACGCTCCATGCCTGGTGTCCTCTCCACAGTGATCGTGGAGGCTTGGAGCCCAGCGCTGCCCTTACCACACCCTCCGCATATACTGTACTTTCAGTAGCCCCCTCCTGCGAATGTTTTTGTCTTCTCTCATATTCAGTCTTGAGCGGGTGGTATAGGGAATCTTCCGGCAGCTCTCGACGAATGCTGGCAATGTTGCTTTTGACACCACCCGTCACCACCACCATCACATTGACATCGAAAGGCGCGAGCTCAACGCGGAGAGTGTCGCTGTAGGCGTGAAGAGCTGCTTTGGATGCGTTGTATGCAGAGCCGAAGACGTAGGGAATTACTGCGGCGACGCTACCAACCTGGACTATGGTGCCCTTTGCTTGGATGAGGAGAGGAGCGAAAGCCTGGCACATCCGCATCACCGAGAAAACATTGGTCTCGAACGTGGCTTGGACCTCAGAGAGATCGACGTCGAGAGCTGGAATAGTATAATTGCGTCCAGCATTATTGACCAGATAGTCCAAGGAACCATTGGTCCGTTCGGAGATATGCCGCTTGACTTCTGCAACGCTTTCGGGAGAAGTGACTTCTAACTGCAAGGCTTCGACGCCTAAAGCCTTGAGATCTGTAACTGCTTTTTCGTTGCGAGCTGTAGCAAAGACATGGAGGCCTTTGGACTGGAATTGCGTAGCCAAGGCGTAACCTATACCACCTGGGCTGCAACCCGTGATCAATACTGTCTTTCTTCCCTCCATTGTCAAGGTATACGTTTTTCCGGGCACTTCTTAAGACAGGTAGTAATAGCGGGACGGGTTTTTGCTAATTGTTACGACTAGACCAAGAGGTGATCACTAGTAGGCCGTCACTAAACAGTAACTAATACTAGTTGTAGGCTTGAAAGCGTATGACCGCTTTTCTACACATCTACTGCCCAAGTGGTGAAGGAAAAGAAGACGCCGCGCCCCCGCGGACAAGAGTGGAGACTGATACCCTAAAAGACGGGAATTTACTGCACGGGAATTGCACCCTCGCCAGAAGTGGGACGGTAATCCCAAAAGAAGTCAGCTTCCGAGTCTGACAACAAATGCTGGATTAACGGCACCCAGCTTACTACTTACTACGGACACGACCGTCAATTTGGTATACTCACATCTCCCCGAAGAGGTCAGAGGTATTTAATTCGTAACGGGTTCGATTCCTATTGGCGCTGGTACAATGGTAATGCGGTGTTGCTTATTTTCTCAATGTATGGGAAAGCGGTCGTACGCTTTCAAGCCTACGACTAGTAAAAGTTACATTGGTACAGAGGTCTGCACCGAAAGTCCTGCACATGCGCTAGTGCAGCCCTAACCCTACTTTCGGAAAGCGGCCCTGTAGAGGGGAAGCCTAGAAATATCTTCTCACAGCGCATGGATGGGACTTTAGGTACTTCTTTTGGCTTGATAGGGGCATTAAGCCCCGAAACCTGGCTAGGGCTAGGTGCGATTCCGAAGAACTCCAGACGCATTAGGTGGGGCGTTATCCGAAGTCTGAGCGCAAGAGTCTTGGCGGGTGCAGGACTTTCGGTGCAGACCTCTGTAGTCATAACGATTAATCGTATCTACTCGTTTCCACCCCCCATTTGCACGTTACCCCCATTTGCACGCTCTTAAAACCGATAAATCCGACGCAACACCAAAATGCCTACCTTTCATCAAATTTATATAACAAACTAGCACAATAATGATGGTCTTTAATTTCTATCTAGGCTTAAGATCGGAGAACCTAAATCACCGTTTTTTGGGCCTTATCGGCCTACCATATCTTGAAAAAACCGTTACTACCTCCTCTTCTACTACCTTCTTACCTCTTCCACCTCTTCCGCCTCTTCCACCTCTTTTACCTCTTCCACCGCTTCTACCTCTTCCACCTTTTCCACCTTACTGCGGTAAAGCCTCTGATGAAGCCTCCGATGAAGCCGGTAGAGCCCGCCACTGTGGCGGAGTAGCTCCTCATCTATCTCGCTGTTATTGCTGTGGTGGAGCGAGATTTAGTGGTATTAGTGGGCCTGGTATAGGAGGTGTAGTAGCCTTTTTCTTGATAGGACTTCTACCTCTCTTCGTGTCTTCAAAAATAGCTGGTCCGAGGTGACACCTACTATGTTAGGCCTATAGATGGCGACTATGGTACCGTAGCATTGGCTATCATGATAGACTATGGTGATAGGCCATTTGAATGAGTAGTAGTGGTAGCCATGGTAGTGGTAGCTATCTATGTCGGATTTATCGGATTTAAGAGCGTGCAAATGGGGGTAACGTGCAAATGGGGGTGGAAACGAGTACCCCCATTCGCGCCATACCCCCATTCGCGCCATCTTAAATCCGACAATTCCGACGCAACACCAAAATGCCTACCTTTCACCAAATTTGTATGGCAAACTAGCACAATAATATTGATCTGTCATTGCTATCAAGGCTTCTATATCGGAGAGCCTAAATCACCGTTTTTTGGGCCTTATCGGCCTACCATGTCTTGAAAAAACCGGCACTACCTCTTCTTGTACTACCTCTTCTTCTTCTACCTCTTCTTTTCTACTATTTTCTTACCTCTTTTATCTCTTCTATCTCGCTATTGTTACTGTAATAGAGCGAGGTTCAATAGTAGTAGTAGGCCTAATGTAAGAGATATAGTAGTCTTTTTCTTAATTGGGCTTAAGTAGGCCACATTTGAGTCTAGGGTAGGGATACCTACTATGCTAGGCCTACAGACGGCGACTATGGTACCGTAGTATTGGCCATTATGGTAGACTGTGGTAGTAGGCTATTTGAATGAGTGGTAGTGGTAGCTATGGTAGTGCTAGCTATCTATGTCGGATTTGTCGGATTTAAGATGGCGCAAATGGGGGTATGGCGCGAATGGGGGTAGATACGATTAGCAAAACCCGTCCCGCTTCTCCCAATTCTCCACTCAAGAATCAGGATATTGAAGCTGCCACATAAAATCTCCTTTCCACGCTGAGTTCTCGTTTCCTTCCCACAATGGAGTGCAAAAGTCTCTTGAGTGCTGAGCCCATTCAATCCTACGGAGGATCCAGACACGAGTTCGAGCTTCAAGGTGGACGGCAGCGTCCCTGCTCAACGTCGACATGGCCACCAGTACCACCGTGATGGAAATGGCAACTCTACCCTCTTCCAAAGACCAACCAATTTCCTTGCAAACGCCAATGTGGGGAAATTCGGAACTCCCTGGGCCCATTGCTAGCCATGTCGTGGAGACTAAGCAGAGATGGAACAGCCCACGGATCAATACATACCGTCTGGCTGCCATCTTTTTCGCATTCCTCAATTTTGGAATGAATGATGGCTCGTACGGTGCATTGGTACCATATGTAGGCAATCACATAAGCAGCGAGTCTTACAGGAAATGCTGAATACTGATTCTTCAAGATCGAAGCAGACTACGGCCTATCCTACACTGTCACCTCCCTCGTCTTCCTCTCTCCCTTTGCCGGCTACACCTTCGCTGCCCTCTTCAGCGATCGTCTGCATCGCCTCGGTGGCCGGCGTGGGATTACAGTTCTCGCGCCTTCATGCAAAGTCATCGCTTACATCGTCATTGCTACGCACCCTCCATATCCTGCCGTGGTGACTATCCTTGCTCTTGCGGGGGTCGGCAACGGACTTCTCGACGCAGCATGGAATGCTTGGATTGGCACATTGGACCATACGAACCAGCTTCTGGGATTGTTGCATGGCTGCTATGGGCTTGGAGCGACGATCAGTCCCTTGATAGCTACCACTATGGTCACGAAGGGGCACCTAGGCTGGTGGACATTCGAGTACATTATGATTGGTGTTGTGACCCTGGAGATATGTGGAGGCACTTGGGCATTCTGGAAAGAGACGGGTGCGAAATACCGTGATGACAACAGTAGCGCCGACAGCGATGAAAAGGGCAAGACAAGTCTGGCCTTGAAACAGAAGGTCACTTGGATTTGTGCGGTATTCTTGCTTGCGTATGCGGGGACGGAGGTTTCTTTAGGTGGATGGATCGTCACCTTCATGATACGTGTCCGCCACGGTCAACCCTTCGCTTCTGGTATGACAGCCACGGGCTTCTGGCTCGGTATCACCATTGGACGAGTGACTCTCGGGTTCATCACTCCCAAGATTGGCGAAAGACTTGCTGTTGCCCTCTACATTATTTGCTCTCTTGGGCTTGAGCTACTGTTTTGGCTCGTGCCTCAATTCATTGTCTCTGCCGTTGCCATTTCTCTCGTGGGCTTTTTCATAGGTCCTTTATTCCCATCTGCTGTCATCATGGCGACGAAGCTCCTGCCACAAGAACTTCACGTGGCTGCTATAGGGTTTGCTGCTGCTGTAGGCGGAGGAGGGGCCGCTGTCCTCCCCTTTGCTGTTGGAGCAATAGCAAATGCCAGAGGCGTGCAGACTCTACAGCCTATTATTCTGGCATTACTGGCTGTACTGTTGGGTATCTGGCTGTTGCTGCCACGGATTCCCAAACATCTCCACGAAAGCTGAAATCCAGATTTCTTTTGGATATAGGCCAGCTGGGTTACAGCGCGATGTAGATAGAAAAGACCATAAAGTATGTAGATACAATTTAAGGGTGACTGTCATCCGATACTCCACAACGATCTCACGAGGAGGCTTGAATACCCTATAAACTTTAGCATCTCCACGACATCAATGTGATAGTCCAAATTTCTTGGGGCATAATACCCTAAGTCCTACCTAACTCGATAGGCCCACGCCGAATAAAGAAGACCTGGCCGCTTGATGCGGCAGATCCTTCCCGCCTCTTTTCGCACTCCTTCCCTTTCCACTCCTTCCTTGTTCCCAGTAAAAGCATCCTTTCCTTTGATCGTAAGGACTGCCACTTGTCTTTCTTTCACATACAGTATTTAAAGATCTCATTTGATACCTTCTATTCCAATGTCTTGTGAGAGTGTGCCCCACCAAGGCGGAGAGAAAGGGATTGAGCGGTGTGACACTCCCAGATCACCTGCTAACGTTAGAGCCTCCAATAGCGTCTCAATGTGCGGTACCGAATGCAGTATAAAGTATTGATTGAATAACCTTTACCAATACTACTCCAATGGTTTTGAGAGGCCTGAAATGCCCCATGTGTTTGAAGTACTCACGGAGCATGCCTCACACTCCATATCCCATTCCTGCCACTAAAACAACCACCTTTCCAAGCTTCTTCGCTGGGCTCTTCCAACTTTGCTAGATTCTTTGAAGGTTGTGAAGATATGTTTTCCAGTCTGTCTCTGTGCGTTTTGCCATGCATACTGCCATTGTTTGATCAAGCACGAGTTCCCCATATTGTTAATGGATTTCTATCTTCCGACTTACTGGTTGGCTTGTAGGTCCTAGGAAAGGCTTCTGATACGATCCTGTAATGGATGTCTTATTCATGCAGTAACCCATACTTGCTAGGAAATTTCACAGTGAAGACATAAACGTTTAGGCGGATTGGACCCGTGCTGGAGCTGACAGTACGGTCATTGCTCGGCACTGCATGGTCATTGTTCGGCGCTGCACACTTCGATCCTACACACTTTCAACTATCAGAAACATTTCCGACTTATGATGATCAGTCCTTGTCTTGCTGCAGATGGAAAAAGCCACACATGCGATGGAGATGAGCTTAGACATATTACCCAATGCGGACGACAATCGAGCTAGAGACCTGGAAGTCATACACCTCAACAGGATGAGCTCAAATATATCATCCAGTGCAGACCAGAACAAGGCTCGCGGTGTGCAGCAAACGCCTCGAGATGCCCTTAACAATAAAATAGATGAGCTGGAGCAAAGGCTAGCTGCCCTGACCGCCGACATTTCTCCTTCAAGGTCATCCAATGCCAGCTTCAGAACCGCACAAGAGCAGACGTCACCCACACCACTCTCTCAAAACGCTCTGGGAAAGCGTAAGGAACAGGACTCGCCGAAGAGGCCAAATCCAGTCTCGTTTCCACCTCGGAGCAGTAGACGTCAGAGTTACACCAACACACAAGCGTCTTCCCGCCCTACAACATCGCATCGAGCCTCTACCAGACCATCCACCAGACGCAATTCCACAGCGCCGACTTCGCAGGTCCCTTCAGCCTCTTCGTCCAGACGCGAAGGTCGAGCGCCGACAACGACTCGTCCGTCGGCCTCTTCTTCCAGGCGCTCTTCGTTCAGGGTCAATCAGCCAGCTAGCACTCAGACTAGTCGACCTGCTCGACTTAATCCAAGGAACAACACTACTTGGCCTCCTCCTACAGTCCTTCGTGACGGGAAACAGGCTCTCCAGTCCCTCCGAGCATTCTCAGACCTCCGCGATGACGTTTACTCTGCCATGCAAGCCGAAGAGCGTCTGAAATCAAGCAGCCTACCTACCCTTCCGCGCCCTACAACAGCAGACACAACGGCCGCCTCATCGGTCTCGGCAGCAAATGATGTGGGCACGGGAAGCTCGCAGGACCGTCACGAATACTCAAATCACGTCCCAGCCGCCAACATCGACTGGACTTCAGCATCCACCCGCCGCCGCGAGTACGAGAAGATCGACCAAGCACGCAGCGGCTTGCGCGGCTTCATACGACGCGTCACCCCGCGTATCTTGCGGCGGAAGACTGGTCGAGTCGGCTTTCATGATGATGGCAAAGGTAGCGATGCGGGGACGGTGAGGCGGTTCAGGATGGATGTGGCGGATGGGGATAGTGCTGTTGACGAAAGTGCCAAGAGCCACTGGTGGAAGTTCGGCAAGAAGAAGGCGAAAGGGAAGGGCACGTCGTCCACAGAGCTATGAATGGCGTCGAGCGTATAGGATACTGCCGAGGGGCCAAAGGGGCGTTGATTCGGCGCGCGTACGAGGGTAGAAGAGGTCTCAGGAAGGTCAATCGGAGTTGTATAGTCACGGTACCCGAGAAGAAGCCACAGATCTACTCTTGATGCTTCACGTAGTTCAATGCTTCAGCATCCAGTGTGTAACTATTTCACATCGAGCCATAGCCAAGTAATCACATCCAGCAGCACATCCCCCTCCCTCCCTCCCTCCCTCCCTCCCTCCCCCCAGCACACATCTAAAACACCAGCGCGGCCCCCTTCGTCTTCTTGTCCCCCCCCAGCTCAAAGTGCTTGCACCGCTTCAACGACAGCTGCGCCTTGGTCTTACAGTTCGTGCACTCGAGCCTCAGCACGACCTTCTTCGTCGTCTTCGCCTTCTTGTGGAACACGGGCTTCGTCTGGCCCCCGTAGCCGGACTGTTTGCGGTCGTAGCGGCGCTTGCCCTGGGCGACCGAGGATGCCTGCACGGAACGCACGGGGGGGCGTCAGTCGGGCGGGGTGTACCGGTATGGCGGAGATGGGGGTCTGGGGGAGTGGGGGAGTGGTGGTGGAAGAGGGGAAAAGGGGGGGGAAATTGTGACGTACCTTTCCGGCTTTGTATTGGGTGACTTTGTGCTGGGTGTGCTTTCGACACTCTTTGCCCTTGCAGTAGGTGCGGCGGGTTTTGGGAACCTGGGGTGCGAAGGTTTCGGCGTCAGTATTGCCCGTTTGGGGGGGGGAACTGTAGCGCAGAGGCTTGAAGGATGATTCGAGGGCGAGAACAACTCTCAATGGTGACGATAGGGCGGAATAGAGGGGGTATGGGTTCCGAAGATACGTACGTTGACCTAAAGGGTAGATACGTTAGCAATGGTACGGCTGCAAAAAAAATCATGGCTCCCGGTTCGCAGTGCAGGTGGAGAGGGTGCCTTGGTGCTGATGTTCCTCCTCTTCAAAGCTGCTTTGGCGGAGGATATCGAACCCGACGGAGCTCCCGTTCTTGCCTTTGGCATTTTTTTCTTTCTTCGGGTCTTGCTCTTGAAGCCATCCCTCCTCTAGCTCGATTCCAATGTAGCCTCCTCTCCCACCGCCCCTCGCCCTTCGAGCTCGCATTCCACCTGTTCCCATTTCCCGCAGAGCCAGCAGGCTCTTCTCTTGGAGCGATTGGCGGGAATGTAGAGAGAGTGGAGAGCTTACCATCTTGACTGTATTCAGGTGGTTTGGTTTCGTACGATAGAGCGGTTAATGTTGGTGTGGTCGCGGACGCCGATGAGGTTCGGATTTCAACTTCTGGGGTGCGGCTCGCTTGGAAATGTGTGCCAAGGCACTAGTTTTCGGTGGCAAATATCTCCGATCCTCCAGTGGGCTCATAATGATCTGGTCGACCTGATACGGAGAAGAAGTTCTGAGATTTTTGGTCCAAGTCTTTCTACAGTGTGCTTCCACGTCGGGTTTAGAGTGCGGTAATTGCCTGATACATTGCGTAAAGGAAGTCCAAGGGAGTGCAATGTCCAAGACCTCAATCTTGGTCAAAGTTGAAACCTTTGCCCTCATGATGACTATGCCCACCGCCATACCACAAAGTCCCCTTCCGATAATCCAGTCCTTTCTCTTCGCCCACAGTCCAGCTCCCTTCGCTGGTCAAGCTGTCTTCAGACCAGTACTTAGCCCGTAGCTCTCCATTGATCTCTTCCAGCGTTCTCACAAGCCCTTCGATCTTCCCACGATCAACGGCGTTGCCGTCTTTGCTCGAGATATCCTTCTGAGTGACGAAGCGTGCGATTGTAAGATGAGAAGATGGGACAACGTAACGAGAAGCCACTTCGACGCCCGCAGATCTGCAAAGACCGTACATGTCTCTGCGTAGATGGTGATAGGTGTAAGCATCAGCGTTGGCGGCTTTCTCTGCAGGTAAACCTTCCCCAGCGGCCGGTAGAAAGCTCAAGGCAATGGCTGCAGCGTCGTAGCTTAGCATTGGCTTAACCAGTCGGGCTCGATGATCGTATGTAAAGTCTGTAAGCTCCGGCACTTTGCTCTCCATAGTATTCACGAGATGCTCGATCTCCGCCTCTGTTTTGGAATGCGTGATTTCGAGAACGGTCATGTGAAGACATCCGACAGGCATGAGCCAGAGACCTGCAGCAATGAGCATGTAATAAACAGGCAGCGTTCAATTGCTGACTAGGTGCATATCCAAGTAGCCGCTTCTGTAAAGTTTCCACGAGCTGCCGGATACGTTTTGGTGGTCTTGCCCAAAAGACCAGGCAATTTCTCGGATCGACGTATCCTGGATTTATCTCTGGGTTGACGAGCTTGTGCAGCACTTCGTCTATGATGAACCCTGAGAAATCTGGAGAGGTCAACTTGCTTTTTTGTTGGTCATTCCGAGTCTCGCGGTGCGTCTGATAGCGAAGCTGGATTTGTTTCTCGGACAATCAGCTCTCCAGCCACACATACGCTTGATTTTTGTGGTGTACCGGTTCTTGTTTGCATGCTTCGAGCAATGCATCGTATGGATTTTCAGTCGTGGAATTTGAGGTACCGGAGAGGTCTGCGAAGACATTGCCATCGGCTATGCGAGACATTATTTCAACGGATATCTGATAGCAAACTTCCTCGGTCTACCTTGCTCCGGCTGCCCTCCGTAAGGACTAGCTCTCTGAGTAGATTGACATTGCTCCGATGATGATGGCTTAGTGAGAGTGATAGTGAGGCGTCCAGTGCACAAATCAAAGATAGAGCTCAATAGAAGTGACAATGGGTTGCCGTTGGTTTGAGACGCTGTAGATTCCAGTACGACGATTGTATTCTAGAGCACGAATTGGGAAATCCTGGCCCTACCAGCTCTTGTACGGCGGACGACGGCTGACACTACGACAAAACCAAAACCAATCTTTTTCTTTCAATTTTTTTTATCTTCCCGCGACTTTGAAAAAATATTTGAAGAGATTTTCTAAAGAAATATTTTAGAGAAATACTTTAGGGGATTCTTTATAGGGTACTCGAGGAAGATTTAAGAGATTATTCGAGGGTATACTTTCGGAGGTACTCGAGGAGGGTATTTTAGAGAGTACTTAATTAGAGGATTACTCGAGGGGTTTCTTAAAGATTTACTCGAGAAATCACTCGGAAAAAAAAAAAAACTTCGCGGGAAGTTCCGCGGAAAGTCCCGTAAATTTTTTTCTTTTTGCGAAGAACTTCATAAAACGTAAGTACCCGGAAGAGTACCCGGAAGAGTACCCCGGAGAGTACCCCGGAGAGTACCCCGGAGAGTACCCCGGAGAGTATCCCGGAGAGTACCCGGAGAGTACCCCGGAGAGTACCCCGGAGAGTACCCGGAGAGTACCCGGAGAGTACCCCGAAGAGTATCCCGGAGAGTACCCCGGAGAGTAGCCCCTAAAGAGTGCCTCAAAAAGTACCTCTCGAAGAGTTGAGAATATTCTAAAAAGAATATTTTGAAGAGAGTTACTAGAAATCGCGAAGAAAAAAACGAAAAGAGATTTTTTTTTTGGTTTTGTCGTAGTGTCAGCCGTCGTCCGCCGTATCTTGGCTTCTCCGCTGCATCCTTTTCCATGCTCTGATGAGCATTGCCAACCGCTCCTTCACGCACAGCTCCCATGAGATCATTGCAGCTCGTTGATACCGTGAGGACAATTCCGGTCTTTATGCCGCTGCTACTCACCGCTCTAGAATAGAGCAGGTTCTAAGGAAGCAAGTCCGGCGTTTGCATGAGCCTGCTCCCCTTGACAGAAAAGCTTTTTGCATGGCCAGGGCCAGGTAGGAATTTCATCGGAGTGCTCGCAGCCGTGCTCATAGCCATGGCTTCCTTGCTCTTGGATACAGCGTATTCCAGGCCCTCGCTGCCTCTTTTGCAGAGGAGCTCCTCCAGCTGTCTCCTCCAATTCGATAGGGAAAGACCACAGTCGGTCATTCAAGACGGGTGACGTGGAGGTCCATGCTCCCCTGGACGATCACTGATGACCAGACACATTCTCGCGGCTCTCTCTAGAGAGTCCTGAGGCCATCCTTGTATTCGTGATTGCTGGTCTGTGCGCCCGGAGTATTGTATAGGTTTTTCCTCAGACCGAGCCTAACACTTATAAGTCACATCCCGCTTTTGGTTGTTAAGGTAGGTACATGAAACCACTTCAGTTTCTGCCTTCACATTTTCCGTGAACACTCATCTTCCCTGGTCCGAGCTGTCTTTGTGCTGTCCTCGATCCTTAACCTAACGTAATACAGATGCTGACCAATTTGGCGCGCTTAATTTGACTCACTTTGCTGTCTGGCATATAGGCAGACAAGCTCATACGCAGCAATGGAAAGACCAATTCGTTCGTCAGGTGGGCCTCATGATCTGTCAGAAGTCACCCTAGATACTGACTTTTGTAGAACAATGTGGGGATTGGTGAATCAAATGCAGTCCCTAATTTAACGCGTTTTTCCTCGGATCGATGCAGGAAGCGGTAAATATGGGTTCCAGCAGCTACTTTGGTCTATGGATATGAGGCTTATCCGCGGAAGTCTCAACAAGAACGACTATCAACGATAGAGACGCATCAAGGTCAACATGAGAAGCAGCAAATCAGTTGAAGAGTGCCTTTCAAAACTTGCGCTTATGTCTACACGAAGAACGTACGACCTACAATTACCGCCGCCAATCAGACAAGCAATTCCATTGCTAGCAACAATCTCCAAGCCATCAACGACATGTTGGACAACGACCTGGAAATGACTGATTAAGTGATAGACCAAAATCTGTAGCCCGCTCGTGATGCGATTAGATGGGGATCTCCAAGATACTAACAGCATTTCCGACGACAATACGAACGATCTATACAACTCAGTGATCAACACATGCCAAGCCAGTGCACGCTACACAGGCGCAAGAAAGCTTCTGGAGCAGGCAGCCCAAGACACCAGACATGGTAGCAAATATCATCGATCTCATTCGTTCAATGCCGGAGGAGGAACAAGTTCTCATGTTCGTCCAATTCGACAATCTAATGCACAACATCGTCTCTGCTGTAAACGCTGAGGGTATCCCAAACTACGGTTTTACGGCAAGTTCTGGTCGCGCGGTAAGAAACATGGTAGATGACTTCCAGAATAGGGGCCCAACTAAGAAGATCCTTGTCTTGAACTGGGCGAACTCGTTAGCTGCTGGAGTGTAAGTCATGCCCTACACTCTTAGCTACTCCAAACTTTCCACTTGCTGACATGGTTTGATATAATTCTTACCAATGCCAACCATGTGATCTTTGTTTCTCCCCTCCTATCTGAGACTCAACATGGCTACGCCGCCTCATGAAATCAGTACATCGGGCCTGCCAAGCGATACCGGCATAGGACGACGGTCCACATTTACGACTTCCTCGCGTTGCAGGTTACCGATGTTGACCTCTATCAAGCGCAGGATAGAAAAACCTTCGTGAGGCAGTCTGTCAACGGGGACAGCCAATGGGAGATGGTAGATCCACGAGCGTGACCGAGGCGATGGATAAGGATTGGGGCTGCGAATACTGGAAATCTCACGGAGCGGACCACAAGTTGTAGAGTGATGACGAGAAGCGATGGTTTCCGAATCTGGTGGACAGAATGATACGTTCCTTCTTCCTCTTACGTGATGCTTCCCAGTATTATGTCAATCCGAGACCAGCATCTTCTAGACAGACTTACAAAACAGATTTACTCTTCATGATCGATGGACTCTGTCCCTCGCTTGATCAGTTTCCTTTAGATAAAGTAGGTAAGCATCAAAAAAGATCAGTATCTTTAGATAAAGTAAGCATCAAAAATCTCCAGCTTGATCTTTAACTCGTTCACATCTAAGCTATGAAGAAAAGGAAAGGGCACAACGCCCTGTTCTGGAGCACCATGTATACAGAATGATGTACACATTAAGGCAATGAACAGCCACGGCAACAAGTACCAAGAATTCCAAGAAAACCCGAAGGTGCAGGAATGCACTGCACATGACCGACCCCTGAGTATGCATTGCCTACCTTCTTCATCCACGCCTAAATTTCTTCCCTGCCTCATACACGCAGTGGTATGAATCGCCCAAGCTAGCGCCTCTCGAAGTGAATTCAGACGACTCTTTTCACGTCTCACTGGATCTACATCACTATACTAAGACTGAAACATGACTGACATAATCCATCATAGTAGTCCTCCTCGAAGAACCTCTCGAGAGCCGACGTCCCTCCAAATTATGTCAGATCCTCCTTCTACTACAAGCTCCACCTCTGGCACATCTGCCTGCAAATGACCCCACTCCGAGTTTCGACACAACGGCTATCCTTGGAACCTAGTACTTTCACTCCAATACCTCACCTTCAAACCTCATTGCTGGTGGGAGGCTCCAAAGTCACACAGATGGGAATGAGGACTCATCGTTGCTTGGAGCGTCAGGAACACTTGTGCGTGATAGAGGGAATCTGCCGCGCTACTAGGGTTTACAGACGGACAGATGAAAGTGGCAAGGATGCTAAAGCTGGGAGAGGCAGCCGAAGAGATGGATGACACGAACGGAGAAGCCAAGAATGGGGCTTGGACTGAGGGTATAAGAGCTCAGGTTATGAAGTTGAGACCTACGCTAGGGGACAGGGGGTTTGAGGAACACGGGAGACTGTGTTGGCGCTGAGAGAATGGCGGCACACTGAGGACCAGGCTACGTTTCTCTGTTTTCGTGGGAAGTGAAGGCTCTTTGTTGGAATGTATGAAGGATTCATTGATTATCTATGGGAGTGCTGAGTGGGCTACTTATAACCCTATTTGCCACTCTATTTGCCACTATGAGGGGTAGCTATAACATAGGTGCTGCAGCAAATCTCAACACTCTTGTACAAGGTGGAAGATTTGGGTTCGACTGTCTGGCAAAGAGGATGCATGAAAGTACACATGGAAGGGCACAATTTGGGAAACGAGCAGTCATATGCAAGGGCATACTCCCGGACAATGAGACGTCGAAGCAGGCCTAAGTGGACGTGATTCGGCGACAGGCATACGGAAAGTGTTGAGCCAGGGGTAATAGATCTACAGTGAATTTTAGGGAAGGGGCTCAATCCAAAGAGAACATGATGTAGCTTAGTCAACTTACCGCTAGAAGATGTTTCGGTTTACAGCAGGGAGTGAAATTCGGAAGGCTATAGAGATAGCAACGTCTGGCCGATGCATACAGGATCCACTGTGTGGTACTGGAAATGCTTGGTTGCTTGGTGGCCTTATGCTTTAAAAATTCAAGGTCTAGAGATAAATCATCATGTTGAGCAACATCAACATGCTGTGCCGACGAGGGTCGTGAAAAGATTTATATCAAAGAATGTTTAGAGGCTACGAATTCTACGAGGATAATCGAATGGGAAACCTTTGGCTACTTGATATTTAGAAAACGATCTTAACACAAGCTGAGAGGCTTTGAAAGTAGCGGCAGCACAGACAGGAAGACACGGGGGATAGGGGATCAAGATTGCTCAACACTTTTCCGAATAGCTGCGTTCAATCACAAGGGATATGAATCTAGAGAAACGAGGTTAATCCAAGTGGCATTCTCAATGCTACAACAAGTCTCGAACATAGGCAAATCTTGACGCAAACTCTGCTGCTAGGAAGGAAACCTCTCTTGATGGACTACACTGATCGCCATGAGCTTCTAGAAGAGCAAAAGCAAAGAAAAGAGACAAATAAGCAATGTAGAATAATATCACTAATTCTGTACCAGTGCGGTAAAACGTCAAGACATCAGTTTCATCACTTCCCTAAGACTTATGCAAGAATCTTATACTATGCACCAGCGTGCAGAGAACATGCCGGCCGGCAAAACCATGGAAGATCTTGCTAAGCGAGACGCGCCAAGCATAAACAAATGCGCACTCAACATCACAAGACGGGAGGACTTCCCTCTGAACCACTCATTCCGCCACCACGCAGTCTTACACTGTCCCTCCCATTTGTTGACCACAGTCCCTACCTATAAGCAGCAGCTTCCCTTCGAGGGACCTTGAGGATTGGCAGCGGGAGGACGGGCTCGAAGGAGTGAAGCTGAGGGAGCAAGCTGAGCTCACTTGTCAATTCACCTTGGAACAACTGAGTTCGAACACTCATCCAGGATCAATCAGAAGCAAGTCTTTCACCACCTAACCTCTACCGTTCGTCTTCCCTCTCGACCAACAGCTTGCTGCAGGTCAAAGATTCTTATGTTGTATCCCGTGCAACAGGTCCCAGAAACAGAAGAGCAACGGTAATCTCAGATCAGAGCTTCCTCGGCAGTGAGCTATACGAAGAAGGAAAGAAGAAAGTGATTCGAGGACCAGGGACAAGTAGGTCGCTCTCTTTCCATGTCTTCTTCTTGGCTGCGTCGATTACCATATCGGTGATCTCGCTGACAGAGCCCAAGCCATGCTACGACCTACCGGATTTGGGAGAGCGAAACAGTCTTCCGAGAATCCGCTGCCCGACGAATCTCGCCCTGAAGTTCCCTCTCCGATGTTCACTAGTGCTGTCACACCCGACGCAATAGGTTTCCCGGACCACAAATTCTCGTCGTCAATGTCCACGAGGCCTTTGAGACTCGAGCCAGCAGAATTCTCAAGGTAGTACTGTGCCGTCTCTGGGAGAGGAAGAACCCACATGGACTGATAAGACGCAGGACCCTTGATTCTGGAGGATTTCGCCTCTTGCCCTCTCCATCGCTCACCAGAGCTGTCCCACAGGAAGCATTGAATCTTTCAAGTATTGGTGATTTCTCTCCAAGATTTACCGGCGCTTTGACACCCAGAACTGTCGAGATTCCGAGGTAACACCACGCTGTGTTTGAAAGAAGGATAGCCTACATGGACTGACACAATCTGCAGAACCGTGGAGATTGGGGGTTTCCTCTACCAGAGAGTAGACTCGAATCTTAGAGAAGACGCGATGAATCTCTCGTAAGTTTCTTCTCTGCATCCCACATAGTAGAAGCTTACAAGGTTGCAGAGATGGACACCACGGTGGACCTAGCTCAGGAAGTATGCCTTTGCTTCTTCAGCAGCCACAGGAACGTCTCCCAAACCTAGACCGAGAGCAATCACGAGTTTGGTCATCCTCAGGTGTACAGCTGGATCGCGAGGTTCAACGAATAGACCACGGTTCCCACCAACAGAACATCCACAAGCCGAGTCTTAGCCAAGTCCAGCAAAACATCGAATCCGATTTCGCCGCTGCCCAAGATGCACTGAGCGAAATCCACCAAGATTCCCAAGTACCAAGTACTTCTCAAGTACTCTCGTATGCTGCGACGTCGATCGATGTGCAGCTCAACGGTGCTCCTTCCGCGCAACCAACAGTACGAAAGCCAAAGCTCAAATCCAGGATGCTCCGTGAACTTGAGCCATACAACGAGTCCCCAGAGCCTGAGTCAGAGCCTGCGCCAGAGACGATCCAGTCATTCACTACAGGGTTTTCGCAGTCAGCACTGCCAAAGCCAAAGCGCACTTTGAAGATGCTTCGCGAGCTCGAGGACTACAACGAAGCTCCAGGGCCTGACTCAGAATCTGAGCAAGAACACCTCCAGCCCAGGACTGCGCGTTCGTCGAAGCCAGCATCATCGAAGCCGCGGCGTGAACCGCTGATGCTCCGCGAGATTGAGGCACACAACCAGTCTCCACAGCCAGAGTCCGAGGCTGAAATAGAAACGCTCTCCGGTTTGAAGGACGATCGGCCTAAGGTACGCTTGACACGCAGCGCACGCAAAAGCCTTTTAGACTTTGTGAAGAACAAGCCTCCAACGCCTAGGAAGAACCTGAACCTCGGTTCGCTCATGCTCGCTGAGCTTAGTGGTGCTGAAAAAGGGACCAAGGCATCTTATGCTGAAGATAGTAGCAACCTTGGGCCATCTTCGTACCAGAGGCAGCAGGAGTATAGGAAGGAGGTGAACTTTCAGGACGAGGAAGCAGACGAAGAGGAGGATCCGTCGAGTTATATCAAAACAAATGGTCGGAGCCATCCTCAGCTGATGTCAACAAGTCCAACAATGCTTAGGCAGGGAATGAAATCTCGGGATGGAAGCCGGCGGGATCAGAGTTTGGCAGATGAGTTGGCGTGGCTGACGTGGGATAATCAGAAAGGTCAGTCAACTCTAGCACTGTACTACTTTACAACGTACCTTATACTTTTCTCTTCCGGGCGCTAAAGTTAAGCGATCTGGCTATTTACCTGCCTACCACCGCAGCGTCCTTCTGTAGATTAGCTTGCTGACTTTATTTTGGGCATAGAGAGAATCCATGAGCTCGTGAGCTCGCCTCGATACAACCCACATCCATCACAGCATGAGACGGATGCACAAGGTCGCAAAAAGCCGGCATACCATGTCACAGCAGCCATTCCGGAAGGCCACCAAGGTGCTTTTCGCATGGAGAAAGGCTTGCACGTCTTCACCCCGACAGCGGCTGCTTTCTCGGATTTTGGCCGCTTCTTGAAAGACGTCGAGGAGATAGCCGGTCGCAAGATAGGTGTTGTCAAGGTCATCGTACCTTCCGAACTGTAAGTCTCCCTTCGGCGGGTCTCTATCTTTCAACAATCTAGCTCTGACCCTCCCACAGCCTATCGCCGGTCTTCTCTCCACGAAGAAGTGAGTTACCCGAATCGCCTGTCATCAAGACCATGAAAGTCAGCATAAGCTTGAATCAAGATGCGACGGCAGAGCCTTCCAAGATTTACGATATGCTCACAACAGATGACTCAACTTCCTTAGGAGCCGATGAATGGTTGCATATGATTCAACGGGACAAAGATGGGATCATCAAGAAGCGCGATATTAGCCCAGAAGCTATCAGTCGCAATGATGTCTGGAAAGAGAATCATGTGCTTAAGCCATATGAAGAGAGGAGAATGATTCGGCATAGCGAGAAGCAGGACGTAGCCGTGTTGTGTGCTTTGAACGAGCCGGGTATGACACACTCCCTTTGATCAATTACCTTCTCATGAGAACTTTCCACAAAGGAGTAGCTGCTGACTGTTCCTTGATAGCGACTCCTATTCTGCGAGCTGCTCTGAACTGCAAAAATCCAAACATTGAGGACTTCCTTGGCAACCGCTTCGCATCTTCTCGATCGACTCAATCAGGCATCAACATGTCTGTCTTCCATATCGCTGATGGTCCCGGTCCACTGTCTCCGCTGCAGACGAATAAGTATGCCGCTTACTCGCTCAATTACCATCACTCTGGTGCTCCCAGAATCTTGACAGTGACCCTACCAGAGCACCATGCAAAGCTTGAAGAATTCGTGCACATCACACAGGACAGTGGAAATCTACTCGGTCGACCTCCAAAGCCTCCGACGTGCAGCCAATTTGTTGCACACCAGCCAATGTACGTGCCACATGCGACCCTGTCATTCTATGACGTCAATTGTACAGAAGTGGTCCAGCACCAGGGCGAGATGGTGATAACCTTCCCGTATGCATACCATCAAGCATATACTTCTGGACCGAACATCACAGAAGAGATTCTGTACGCCAGTGACCGCTGCAAGGTGTTTCATCGAGAGAACATATATCAGCACTGCACTCGCAGCTGTGCTGCCGGGCAGCCCGACGACTTCGATCTGAAATTCGTCTTCACCAACACATTGAGCAGCCCTCGAAGTGGCCACGGTCGTCGCTCAGGTCTCGAATGTCCCTCCGCTTCCCTTTCGCCATGCCAAACCTCAGAAGCTAGTACCTCTCAAGAGCGTGATAACGACGGTCGTTCATCCAAGCGCTTGTCAGGTCTTAAAGCCATGGACCGCGTCTCTGATGACGGCGACTGGATCGATCCCTCAGCTCAAGCATCCAGAATTCAGCCAAGCACACACCGGAAGGCTAATCGTATGACTTCCAACCCTTACGAGCCTGACATGTGGGACACAGACCACGCCTTTGGACATTCACATGACCCATCAGACAATGACGACGGCAGTCCCATCGGCGGAATCCGACCACGAGATGCTGTCACTGGTCGTCTTCTGATGCCACATGAATGGCGCATCTCTAAGACAAAGCGTGGCGATGAGTCCGATGAATCCCCTCTCAAGCACAGCCGCCACAACTAGTCCTCTCTCGGGCCCTTGACGGCAAGCAGTAATACTGATTCTTCTCCGCACATACGACAGCAATTTCGATTCCTCGCCGGTCTTTTACCTTCGGATACAGGCACTTCAGCCTCCATTAATACCCCATCATACACACCAGCATAATTACTTATCGGTTCGCAGCCATTGGATCGAGTACTTTCTTGTGCAGGTCCTGGCTAGCTTGTCCCCATCTCGAGGTTAATATAACTTCTGCCAGACCTTGACGCATGAGTGGTTACGTTTTCCCCAATTAGGCTTCATTATCGTCAACATCCAATTCAATACCCCATCGTCGAGCGAATCCGCTCTTCAGGATAGTGTACTATAAATTTCATAGCGAAAATTCTACTCAATCAATGCAATTCTTTCCAATGAATTCGTGTCCGCAAGGGAGTGGGGCCCTTCGCTATGAAAGTCCTACATATCTATGGTCCTTACGTATCCAATATTTCCCATCCCACTCAGACGAAGGGTCTCCAGGTCAGGATAACACTCGGTGCGCGTAGATGTCAATATACGTAGAGTGGACGTTGAGAAGCGGTGAAAAAGTTAGCACTGTCCGAGTCATGGGCTGAGTAGGTGGGGGCGTGTTTCGAGTCATGAGCAAGTAGCATGGATATACAAGTACTAAGGTACCTCCATAATACTCAGTGAGGTTGGTTTTCCGCAAGATAGCTGGCCGACAGAACACCGCTAGACGGGTGTGGGGAAGCAGAAGAGCTAGCTAATTCCAAACACGTATCATCTTCCGGCGAAACATCCAGCATGAAAGGCAGCACCATCGACGCTCTATCCTCGGACAACAGACTCTCCCTGTAACAACCCCCCCTCGCTCCTGCCGACGAGAGACTGTGCTTCACTCCGGACCACAATCCCATGCGGTGACCCTCCACGAGGAGTCCGACCCACATCTTCCCGTCCGCGGCAAATGTTATGCCCTCAAGGCCGTGATTCAGACATTCAGACCGCACCACGAGCCTTTCCAACCCGCGCATTCTCTCCTTCATCAGCCGTATATCCATCAACGAAACGATCATGTTCCCAAGCCACAGCTCTCTGAGCCCAGTCCAGCGAATGCGAGGCGCGCTGAACCACTCCTTCTTCCCCTCAACGGAGGCATATTCATCCAGGAGGAAAGGATTCGGTCCTTCGCCGTCGACCCATTCGAACCTGAACGTGTGCAGCTGTCCGTCAGCGGCGAAGGAGTGGAGCCAATCGTGCAGCACCCGGGTGCAGGTGCGCCAATCTTCTTCGACGCGTCTTCGGGCCTTGACGGGCTCCGTGTCCCACTGTGCTGCTTCGTGGTTGAGGTGGTGCTCTTTCTCTTGCGTCTTGTCGTCGTGCCGGCGCACAACTTTGACATCGAGCTCTTTCAACCCGTGCCACACGATCCCGCCCGTCCAGCCGGCATCGCCGAAGGAGGTGAAGCTGCCCCAGCGGAGGGCTTGGATGCCGGAGAAAGAGAGGTTGTTGATTGTGAGGTGGGTGAGGAGCGGTATGTTTGCACACTGGAGCGCGAGGCGGAATGAGAGGAGACCCTGAAAAGGGTCATCATCCGGGGCGGTGAGGTCGAGGTGTTCCAAGCGGGGGAAAGATGGCAGGGGGGTAACGTCGTTACGTCTGGGTACCGGAGTATGTTGCGCCACAGTGACGGTGAGGTGTTCACATTGTGGGGAGATGTTGTGGAGGGCTGACAGTTCTTCGGTCGAGAAGATGTTGAGGGGAAAAAGGAGACTGAGGTTTGAGAAGACCGAAGGATCCGCAGAGTCGACCCAGGCTTTCGTTATTGGGGATACGCGTCGTAAAGAGAGCTTGGACACTAGAGGAAGGAAGGAGTGAAGGTAGGTGGTAGGAAAGGCGGGGGAGTAGGCCGGGTGGTACAACCGGATGTTCACTGAGATTGGCTGCTTTACGCCAGCGAGTAGGCATTCGAAGGGCGAAAGAAGCGAGGCTGACATGTCAGTACATTCAATTAATATGGTTTGCTAGAAGAGTAGATTTCCTAGATTTATCGCAGAAGTTGTAGGGAAATTCAGGATGCTAAAAGATCAGCAGTACTGACTTAGCAACTTTGAGCGGCTGGAGGTGAACATCATTGGCTCTTGGGAGCCGTCACTTGTCCAAGGTCCGACAAATTAGAAAACGGAGTGACTTCTTGCCCCGGACACGCTAAGTATATAACACGAGAACTGGTAGATATGAGCTTAATATCAAGCCTTTACTTTAGAATCCGAGAAGATCTTTTGCCACACATCTAGCCACGCCTGCTGCTGCGCCGACAACCCACGTCCAGGACTGCGAAACGCCTGTGTCATTATCTGCCTGATCTGACCACGCAAAGCTTTGAGGGCCAAGAACGTCTTCCACTCATCCAGGGCAAAGCGAATCCGATTGCCATCCACCACTATCACCCCCGAGTACATCTTGAACTCCGCTTCACCGCAGACGAGAGCAACCGCAAAACTCTCTACTGGACTCGTCTCATGGGCGTTGTAGAACTTGTTGCTCGATTGCATGATGTGGTAGAATGACAGCCATTGCGGCGGGCGCTCGGCACCTTTGTTGACGGACGTGGGATGCAAGCTGACCGTCTGGTTGTTCGCGATGTTCTTCCAACCTTTGCCTTCTCGTCTGAGGAGCTTGGGGTAGAAGCTCCAAGCGATGACGGAGTTGAGAATGAGGTCGTTCTTGTTATTGCTGCTGTAGCGATCAGGTAGTTCGACGAAGCTTCGGAGCCTGGACCAATATCGGACCTTGTTGAGGCATCCTTTCTCAGCCTCGTTCAGGATTACGAATCCAGCGTCCACCAAAGAGGCAGTAAGCTGCGACTTCGTATCTTCAATATTGGATAATGTCTGCTGACTCAGAAAGTTCCTCTGGCAGAATTGTTGTTCGGACATTGCGGTCGAGCCGCCGCACACTCGTCGCCATGCGCAGTAAGTGTTGTAGACTGTAAGAAGATCAGAGTCCCCCTTCTTGAAAGCTTGCCGTGCCGTATCTGCTTGCGATATAGTACCCATAGGTACTGAGAAAGGTGACTTGGAGGAAAGGATGGCAGCTATGGTGAGCATTGCATCGAGGCATCCGAAAATGGTACCAAGTAACAGCAGCTTGCCCAGAAACACATCGAGCGGCAGTCTTGCAAGCTGCCGCCCCAGAGGCGTCAGATCTTCTGCAGCTGTAAGGGCTTTGACATCGACAAGAGAATCTATCGCGCGTCTGATGTTCTTCAAGGAGGGAGGATCGAGGGCTTCTGAGAGTGTCTGTTCAATGCCGCCAAGCTTGCAGATCTTGACGCGTAAAACTAGGTCTTGTAGGGAAAGCCTAAGCATTTCAGGGGTTTGTTCTCCAGGCATCTGCTCAAATGTCAGAATAGCGCTGTGGATGTTGAGACTCACTTACGATGTTGTCATGGCGATTCTTGGTGAAGAGATGAAAGCAAAGGCCTTTCTGGACCCGACCTGCTCGTCCACGTCGTTGTTTTGCGTTAGCTCGGGAGATGAATGCTTCAATCAATCTGGAAAGCTGCCGCCGCTCATCAAATCTTGATCACCGTCAGCGTCGAGTAAACGTTGGTCAGAGACTAATATACCTCATCTCCTTATGCTTCCCTGTGTCAATCACGCAAGTAACATCAGGAATGGTGATACCAGTTTCTGCGATATTCGTAGCGAGAACGATCTTGCGAACTCCTGGTGGAGGGACGAGAAAGGCTCGTTCCTGCTCATCTGTAGCAATCGTAGAGTGTAAAGCGTAGATGTACCATCCAGTTGTGAATGTGCGGTGGCCGGCGAGCATGTCGTTAAGTCGCCTGATTTCTGCCATGCCAGGCAGGAATACTAAGATCGCCTTGCTGTAAGGGAAGTAAAACTCAGAGGTAGCGATCGTTTCAAGAAGCCGGACTATGAGACTGTAGCTGACGCGATATTCGTCGAGTTTTGCCAATGTGCTTAGAGTCTTTGGGCTGTATCCTTGGAGATCAGCAATCTGGGATGGAACTTTCGCTGCGTCGTCGTCATCGATTTCCACAGCCTCAGCACCACCATGAGATCCCGAGTCGGCGTTGAAGTTCGTGACTTCCACTGCATCCTCTAAATATTTCGTGTCGACGGGGAAGGTGCGCCCAGGCACGTTCATAATGGGTGCTCCGCCCAGATAATCCGAGAAACGCTCTGCATTGACGGTAGCTGACATGAGAACGACCTTGAGGTCTGATCGCCTCTCCAGCAGCTTCCGAAGGACTATCAAGAGGAAGTCGCTGTCGATGCTCCTCTCGTGCACTTCGTCAAGAACAAGATGTGTGATGTCTCCGAGGTCATCTGACCTCTCCAGCATACGCATCACAATCCCAGTAGTCGCATACACAAGCCTCGTCTGCGGGTTGAATTTGCTTTCCAGTCTTATAGCAAACCCAACAAGCGATCGAAAGGTGCCGACATCGCCCTTCCGTTCTCCAAGCTCTTCGCTCACACGTCGTGCCAAAGAAATGGCAGAGATTCGTCGAGGCTCGGTGCAGTAGACTTTGCAGGGACGCCCGCCTAAAAGCTCATGCTCTAGTATGAAAGCTGGCACCTGCGTACTTTTTCCGCAGCCTGTCTCACCACATATGATCACCACTTGATTATCTCTTATGGCATCCATAAGGTCATCTTTGAAATTCCATATTGGCAAGCTCATGCGAGAGGTGAGCATGTGCTGGTAAGAAGATGTGGATAGCTTCGATGCCCATAATGCTTTGATGTCGTCAGATCGGACTGCGGGAGGTGAGAAGCTGTCTCCTTGCATCTGACGCCAGTCCGCAGCTTTGGGCTCCTTGTTGAGAGTCTTTAATGAAATGCCGTTACTCTGTTCGTCCAAATTCTTATCCGCCTGGCCGTGCTCAGCTATCATACTGCGGAGCTCGCGTAAGACCTGGCGATCGGCTGCTTCGTCTTGGTCTTTCTTCAACTGAGATAACTCTTTCCAGAGGTCTCTCCAGG